GGGCATTGTGAAGAGGCACAAATCAGATAACCATATACAGTGTCCCATTTCTTCAGTTCCAGGTGGATGTTTTAATTGTCAAGCCTGATCTTGAAGAGTCACATCCTGTATGTGTGGATCAGTGGTGGCGGATCAAGCAGTCGGAGGAAACTAGAGCATTAGCAAAGTGCAATATCCAGCCACTCAGTAAGAAAACCTCCACCACAAAGTTGTCCGATGATAGTTAACTGCTAAATTAATTCTTGTCTTTTTACACATTACAATATTACTGATTAACTGAATTTCTAGTTTTGGGGTCCATTCAAATTATATTAAATGTTTTTTTGTCAGTGAACACAACCATTATCAAAACTTTAACCCAGGGGATCTATTGTCAGCAGTCCTTCTCCTTTAACCATTTAGGCTGGGAGGAATAATATTTTAAGGGAAGATTCTCAGGATGTTCTTTTGGGTATACTGTTTCTTTGGTAGGTCTGTCTTTATAGGTCTCTTTAGCCTTACCTAGTGAAGTCACACTCTCAGCAGCAGTATTTTCTGTGTCCATCAATGTGTATAGGGAGCATTTATTTTCTTTGACTCCTGTAGATGTGGTATAGAGAATTCACTTACACAAGTGAACCGGACCTGTGACAAGAACCTTAGCTCCAAGAACCTCAGCCTTAAGTGGGTACCAGGTGAAGTACTAGGAAGTAAAGGTGGCTGGCGTGATATTGACCACATTATCTATCGAGTGCCCACTGGTCTATAAAATATAGGTTTAGCACTGATCCCAGTAATACATCTGAAGGAAAAAAGTCCTTATTTTACTTTCAATGCACAACATATTTCTTGAGACACACCATGTGATACTATTATCATGTTCTTTACTCCACAAATTAATAGAAGAATAATAAAACTCTATACACACAAAACAGTTTTCACAAATTTATCAGGAAACAACACCAACAGCAAAGATCTAATATTCAACATATATATATATATATATATATATATATATAAAATTAAATAAACACCACAGGATGAAAATTACAACAGTGCTGATATGAGTGAATTCAATACGGCACAAATATTTAAACAATGTCTTTTACAGACTTAGCATCACAGATTAACAATGATAACATCACAATTAAGATCTACAACAAAAAAACTAAGAACAATTTAACAGATACAAAATTTATCAAAAGGACAGAAATCATTTAATAGATTTCTGCAAGAGACAACTCATTAAACACAGAAATAACAAACAAAAAAAAAAAAGAAATTTTTGAAGCAATTGAGAAATGGTGTGGTACATCAGAATTTGAACATATTCGTTCTGAGACTGCAACGGAATTCCAAATGGTTTGAGTTTCAATGCCGTTTTTTAAAAACTGAGAATTATGAAATATTAAGTAATCTGTTCCAGGGTCAATTTGAGCATTACAGTGTTAATCTGAGCTTATCAAATATTGTAGCAGGTTCACATGCACCGATAACACTTTCATTATTCATTATTCTTCATAATTAAAATTTGATACTACTTTCACGCTTAGTGATAAAATCCTTTTTGATGATATTTGTTGCTCTGCAGCTTTTCTCTTACTTTCTTTTTCTTTTTTAACTCTACATGTTTTACCACCCATAACTAATCAATGATTTTTTTAAACATTTTTTTTTAAAATCACAATTTTGTAGAATTAGTTGCAAAATTGTATGAGATGAAAAGTCGAGACACACTACATAGCATATGAAAACAAACTGTAGCATAGGTGGTGCTGTGTGGTAGTGCTTGGCTGTCAAGTGCCATGCATTTTGGTTTCCAAAGCGGTTTAAAAGTTTCAAGGCAAAATTTACTTGAAACTTTTGTTTGGATTCTCAGCTGTTTAAATTCTGAAACGTTTGAATTCTGAAACGTTTGAATTCTGAGACGTTTGAATTCTGAGGTATTGCTGCGTAAGATGAAAACGTACATTAGGAAGCAAATATTTGAAAAAAAGAAAAGTTAAGATCATGCTGAAAAGCAAACACACACTTTATAGAGATAAACAACACAGACTCATTTACCAGACCCAACAGAGAAAAACATTTATCAGAACCAACAAAGACAACTCATTTACCAGACCACGCAGAGACAAACTCATTTACTGGATCTAACAGAGACAAACTCATTTACAGGACCAAACAGAGACAAACTTGTTTACTGGACTCAACAGAGACAACTCATTTACCGAACCCAAAAGAGACAAAGTTTTTGTGTGTTTTGTTGTTGTTGCTGGTCAAAGCATAATTAAGTTATCTGGCTTCCACGTTGCCACCTGTACAATGCAGAAGTAGTGCTTTAGCATTTACTGTCAATGGGATGTGAAGTCTTAGGCCTTCCTATATCTAGATCATGATATATGAAGTGGGGTGGCCAGTTCCTTCCTTGTCACCTTCTCAGACAATACACAGAACATTCAGGAAATTAGTAGCCTTATTTATCAGGCTAGGTCGATGGGAGAGCTCTGCTGATCTTAAAACACATCCTGTCACTTCTGTGGATTGAAACAGTACCACTGTCTGGGCAGGCAAGCACATTAACCACTGTGCCACGTGGCTCCTTGCACAATGTTCTAATCTGGAAGCTATGCACTCATGTTTCTATTTCAAGCTTATTTTCCCTTTGGGAGTCTGCTACAATATTTCTGGGACTAAAAGAGCTAACACCACTTATGAATGGACACAAATATACGGGTATACAAACAATATAAAGAATACTTATACAAGTATAAGAGAAAATTAATGATCATAATTGTAAATCATGATGCATGTATACAACATTTATTTGTCACAACAATAAAGAATAATAGGTAAACATCATAGATAAGACAATAATCATTTACGTGACAAATGACAAATATAGATATAAGAACGTAATAGTTGCACAATATAACATAGCCAATTTTAACAAGCACATGAAACACATATCGAGGATGATACTAAAAATACTGCTCTAAAGCCATCAATCAACAAAGCTCATTTTAAAAAAAAACTATAAACAATTACCTGAGAGAAATATTTTTAAAACTTTGTTAAAAAAACAGGAACATATCTGGTACCTGAATAATTTACAACATTTAATGCCCAGTTTTAAAAAGAAAAAATATATTTATTGTAGTCAGGTTTGCATAGCAGATTTTCTAAAATGGAAAAAGCACATTAAAAAAAGTGCTTAGTAAATATTCTAAAATGGAAATAGCATACACAACACAGGAGCAGTTTTCAAAGCAAAAAGATTGCAAAAAAACATGAAAGTAAAATTGGGTGACATTTCTTCTTCTGCAATTTCTGGTCATGAGTTTATCAACTGTGGGCCATCAACTGGGATATCATCTCAAGGTCTCCTAGGTTTCACCAAAGCTTAGTTGTCAGGTCTACCTGGTGTGGCCACATGTTGCTTGACTGCTATGCAGAAGTTTCTTACTGCCCACTAATTTCTAATCTTGACTGCTGACTGTGTGCAACAGCAGTAATCACTCAATGCAGCAGATCCTGTTTATTGTTTGCAATCAAGACAGTACCATCCATACATCTTAAATTGTTGGATGTTATGTCCCTTGATTCCTTTTAAGTCTTTTATAATTTCTCATAATACTGTCACCACACAGAACAAAGTCAGGTGACATTACATCTTTCTGTCTTACACCTTTATCAACTGACTGAGACTGACCTTCTTTTTAATAAAATTTTACAGTAGTATGTTGTTTCTAGTATAAATACTTCACAAGTTTATGTGTTTCTCATCAGTCTGCAGACCTGCAAACGTTTATATCATTCAGTGTGTCTTATGCTACTGAAAGTCTTTGTGTACTCAGTGAGCGAAGATGGATTGTTTACTTCTACTGAACACTAAAGACAGTGCTGCATGACATGATTTTAAAGGACAATTTCACACAAGTTTAACAGCACAAAAGAAAATACCCCTTTCTCTCTCTTTAGGTACATGCGGTATATGGTGTTTATCTAATATTTTTAGACTAAACTGTGAAGCTTCTAGCCACATTTATGAAGCTTCACATCTTCCCATTATCTACCTCAAATACTGGCTCTCTCTGTGAGGGTTCTGAGGCCCCATTAAGGGGAAAAAAAAGAGTGGACCCACTGCCTACCCAACAAGCATGTCGTAGGAGTCGACTAATTGGGGGCTTCCTTCGAGGTCGGAGTGCATCTGTACGAGCGGCAAGGAATAACCAACTGCAAACGAATAAGCCAGTAAAATGGATGTACTTGCAAGACTCAGGTCCTGGCACAAAGCCAAAGTCCAAACAGATGAACAACTAGGACTGTTTGCCGAAGCTTACATTAGTGAAAAAATAAGAAGGATAAGAAATATTGGCTCTCTATCCTTGAAGAGTCAACTGTTTTATGAAGCTGTATCCCAGGTAACATATGTGCACTACAGGAAGTTACAAGCACATCTGACAATGATACCATAGACAAGCAATAGTTAGAGATGAAAATACAAACTATGTGTATAGTTGTTATGGATATGCACATACATTTTTGTCTCATGCAGCTGACAGGTATAGTAAAGGTAGGCTTATATAGCTGTGTTTGTTACAAATTATTACACATTATGTTAATCTATACAATTTAAATCTAATTTCCGGGGCCCTGTTATAGAAAAAACAAGATCAGACCCACTGCCTACCCAAAAGCATGTCGTAAGAGTCGACTAATTGGTAGCTTCCTTCAGAATCAAAGTGCATCTGCCTGAGAGGCAAGGAACCAACAGTCTGCATACAAATTAGTCAGATCTGTCAAATGTATACACACACAACACTCAAGTTCTGAAACAGGACTGCAGTCCAGAAGTGTTTACAGCTGGTGAACGCAAAGAAAAAGAAGAAAAAGATATATTTAATTCTATATGCTAATCATAAAATAGCTGAGTTACACTTTTCATACTTAGCAGTATCTGTTTGCTGCCTTATACAGGTATAAACCCAGATTTAATTGTTACAGTAGTTAACAGTATTTGATTATATAGCCATTGATCCAACTTCATTTATATGACCTGTATGTTGCTTATAACTTCCAGGCACTTCATCTTCCCCTTCTTCCAACTGCCGTTTGGCAAAATGCAGGAAAACCTGAGGGACGCAAGCAATACATATTATAACATAATCTTACTGATTGTACTGGTGGTTGAGAAGATAAAACTGATGTCAGTCCAGTGATAACCATTCCAGTATTGAATAATGTTTAGTCAGTGTTAACCAATACTCTATAGTATCTAGTCAGTGATAACCAATACTGTCTAATGTCTAGTTAGCGATAGCAAATACTGTCTAGTGTCTCTTCATCATCATCAATTTCCACTGCTGCTATTAAGCGTTGTGGGGAGAAACAGTTTGCAATCCACAGCTTGATAGGCAGCAATGGCTTTTGTCATTCCATGTCGATGTAGAAGCGTTTTAATGTTGTCAATCCATCTTCTCCAAGGGCGGCCTCTTATTTTCACTTCAGATCTGTTCATGTGTAGTGCCTGCATTTGTAGTTGTTCTGGTTGCATTCTTACTAAATGATCAAACCATCTGACCTTTTGTTTCTCAATGAATTTGCTGTACAGTGTTTTTCCTACAGTCTGTAATGTCATTTCTAACTTTGTCTAGAATGATTATAATGGTGGCTTTTTTCAGGTATCTTATTTCTCTTACTTTACTTTACTTAGTCACTCCTCTTCTACCTTGGGGTGTGGAGGTTTGCCAGAGAAATCGCCAGACATTCTCGCTTTGTTCCATTCCAGTCCTCTGTCAATTAGGGACTGTCGCATGTTGTTTTCCCAATGGACCCTGGGTCGCCCTGGAGGTCTGGTTCCCTGGCGTTTAGCCTCCGATGCCTGCCATGCTGGCCAATTTTCTTCTATTCTGCATACATGTCCAAACCATCGTAACTGTGACTGGTCCACTCGGGTTTGTAAGGACTGGGTATCAAGATCTTGACCTACTGTCTGATTGCGGACTTTGTCCCTTCTTGTCACTCGGAAGACCTTTCTCAGATATCTCATTTCTGAGGCCTAAAGCTGGCTTCTGTGAGCTGTTCTCATTGCCCATGACTCACATCCATAGGTCAGGACTGGTACATAGGTAGAGCGGTAAACAGCCATTTTCGTCCTCTTGCAAATTTATCTTTTGCTAAGAAATGCTTGGTTTATGGCCTGGAAGAGTCTCCCCACAGCTGCTTTTTGTGTAGCCAGCTCAGTCTTAATGCCTCTGTTCGGTCTAATACAACTCCAAAGTATTTGAACTGGTTAACCTGCTCCAAGGCATACTGTCCCATCATGATCTGGTGTTTCTTCTTCTCTCTTGAGATCACCATGGTTTTAGTTTTAGAGAATCTGATGGTCATCCCTCTCTTCTCAAGCTCTTCCTTCCAGACAAGTAAGTTGGACTGAAGGTGTCCTGTGATTTAGCTATCAGGGCCACATCATCTGCAAATGCCAGCCGAGATAAACAGATTGGTCTCATCTTCCAGTACCTCACTGAGTACTTCTTTGTCTTCTCCTTACAGGTCTTGATGACATCATCCATCATAAGAATGAAGCATCTCATTTCAAAGGTGTTAATTTTAAGTAGGTTAGCCTCTGATAATGTCCAAGGCTGGCACTGGTAGCAAAGCTTTGGTATGAATATGCTGTTTATAATCTAACAGAGTGTCTTTAAGTGCTACAGAAGATGCTGTGGTAATTGTGTATGTGTTAACCAATGTGGAGTTGTGATGGGGAGGTATTGGGAATGCTGGTTAACTGGAGGTTGATCAATGATACTTCGATGAGTGAGTGGGTAGCAAATGATACTTCGATGAGTGAGAGGGTAGCAGACTGGAGGTTGATCAATGATACTTCAATGAGTGAGTGGGTAGCAAATGATACTTCGATGAGTGAGTGGGTAGCAAATGATACTTCAATGAGTGAGTGGGTAGCAAATGATACTTCGATGAGTGAGTGGGTAGCAAATGATACTTCAATGAGTGAGTGGGTAGCAAATGATACTTCAATGAGTGAGTGGGTAGCAAATGATACTTCAGTGAGTGAGTGGGTAGCAGACTGGAGGTTTGGATTTTTTCCCCAAGTGGTGCATCTACCTTGGGTCCTCAGGTGGTGGTTTCTCTTGGATAGGGAACCGTCACGGGACTGTCACTGCACATTACACAGGTGTATTTGCGCGATCAGGCGGTAAGTCGCTCGTAGCAGCACCTGTACAGAGTTCTGGTAGTCTGGTAGTCTTAGTTTCAGCTTCATAGCAAACGGGTCGCCCCATCTTTGCTCCGCTCCTGTGCCAGCGAAAAACACCCACAATGTTTATCACAGTCCCTTGTGGAAAGATTGACAGACTGCTGTCTCAGCATATCTAGCATACACTCGCATTAAAGCATATGGTAGCCATCCGAAGTGCTAACACAAACAGTCCAACATTAGAAATGCAGTTCATCATTGATGATAGCAGAACTTGTCGCCAACAGATCAGCAGTTGCCCACGCGATCAACAGAGTTCATCACGGTAGTGTTTGTCCATGTCCGTGTTCTGGAGACTGCCGATGTGAGTGTATTTAGCAGGTTGTAGACAAACAGTGATTCACTGATCACCAATTCATCTTTACCGCAAAGTGTTCATCCATAATAAAGCGACTGACTGCACTATAAGATCATACTTGGTGTAGTGTACTGTATTACAACATTCTTAGACAGTGTTAGCGGTTACGATAGGCCATGTAACCTGTGCCACATATATTGTGGCTGTTAACTTGTTACTTGTGCCTGGCTTATTGTGGTGCTCCTTGCTTGCGTTAACCATCCTTTACTCCAGTAATAATCACCATCAGCATGTGCCATGCCAGTGGGAGTGGGTGACCATGGTTTGTGGAAAGAGGGAATCCACAACAAAAACCAGTAAAAGAACAGTAGGGAGTGGTTGTGAAAAAGTAATCTTAGAAACCTACCTGTTCTAATGAACTTTGACTGAAACTGTATTCCTCTAGATTGTGTGTCCTTTTGCCTGAAACAGACGCATAAATTTATATTAAATGTTAAGCTATTTTTGTTTACATCTTTATTGTTTTCTATGCATGGGTGTAGAGATATTGTTTTCCTCTGCACTGCATTTCTCAGTGAAGCACAGGTTCAATTTTTGTCAGGGCTTTTGGCAAACCTATTACACAGACTGCATGTCTTCCCATTTGTAAATCTCCTTATTGTGAAGCCAGGATTCTTGGCTATCTTACAATGTCAGATTATATTAATTCTGGCTGTTTCCTTTGTTCTTCCAATGTCCAAATTTGCTAGAATTTCAAGTCAAACATTTCTTCTTCATGGTCTTCTTAATTAATAGCATTATTTTGCACAGTATATACTGTATTAATTTGTTCTAGCATTTGCCACTGTTAATCTGTGATGCATCTTTCTAGTAATATTGCACAAGTTTGGTACAGTAATAGTGAATAGTACTGTAATGGTGAATAGTACAGTAATGGTGAATAGTACAGTAATGGTGGATCTATCACTCCTTACCTGATATGACTCAAATATTGGTCAAATATCAGAATGTTCCGAAAAATGTAGCCCCTTGACAGATACTGCCATCAGGGTGTAAGGCCTAACACTTCACACATTCTAGACCATGATACATGAGGTGGCATGCCCAGTTCTCTTCTTCACTGCCTTTCCGTCATAAACACTTTCTGGCTAATTTCCCAAAATTATTAGGTGGCTTCTTTTTCTTCTTCTTTCGTTCGCCTGAAATAAGTTGTCTGTATCAGCAATGTTGTCTCTTGTATTAGGTGGCTATTTTTCTGAGTTGGGTCAACCCCAAGAGCCATACTGGTATAGAAAACAATCCTTCTGGAGATGGAACCTGGACCACTGCCTCAGCAGGCAAGTACATTAACCACTACGCCATCATAGTAAGGTTACTTGAGTATCCTTTACAGGATGTTGCAGAACCAACCCCAGCAGCCCCTGGCTGTTGTGTGGTTTCTCTAGGCAAATTTGCTTTCTGAACGGTTGGACCCCTGATACCACTGTCGAAACCAACCCAGGGCACATGGCCCACAGCTGGGATCGAACCCGGCACCCTAGCATTACGTAGCGTTCGCATCGACTTGGCCACAAAGCCGACACGCCATCATAGCCTTAATATTTCTTAGAATCTGTGTACACTTCTGTCTTATTTCCCCAATCCCTGGCATGTGGTCACTACTGAAATTTGCTCATGTCTTTCTTTCATAGACAGCAAGCTGTTATGAAATCAACTGCTTATAATAATCTTGCAAATCTAATTCTGAAAATTATTTCCTTGCAGCACAGTGTCCTCAATGTCTAGGGTTTTGCTGAAAGCAAGTGCTTTCAACTATCAAATTATGTGTCCTTATCAATTCATCCATCATACTTGTCTTTTCAAGGCCACAGACATCAGTGGCCTACCTTTATTCTCCAGCCTTGACACTAAAATCTGCTATCACTATAGAGTGGCATGTTTGAATTCAAGTGCCTCAAAACTCAAATAACTTGGAATCAGAATTACATTTTCTAGTAAATTTTGCGTCAGAACTTAAATGTCGCCTTGGAAACCAAACCCCTGGCATGTGACGATCATGCGACGATCATGCGACTAAGCTAACACAAGAGCATCAACATCTTCACCAGCAGCAGAAGGAAGAAACTGCAGAAGAAATTTCTTCTGGGAGGAAAAGAGGGGAGCTGGAAGGATAAGCACTACTGAAATCTAAGACCTTTTTGATCATGTGGTCGAATACGCAAAAGTTGTAAAAAGGTGGCATCCTGATAGAGCCCTAGTTAACCGGCATTATTAATTTATTCAATGCTAACATTAACAAACATTGAAGATAATTAAAAAATGGTCGCCAGCACTAGAGCACTCTGGAACCCTGGCTGTCAACAAAAACTAGTGACCCCAAACCCTTTGCAAGTGGTCAACGACTAGGACATGAAAGATCACAACGGATTTTCTTGATGTTTTCATAAAAGATGAAATCACTACCAAACAATAATCTCCTCGATCACTATTTCTCCTTCTTCTCCTAGGTGCTACATCTCACCATTTTGGTCAAGGTACAGTGAATACGGGAGTCGCTGTGGCATAGCGGCTAGACACTCGTCTGCGGATCGAAAGGTCGTGGGTTCACTCCCTGGCAGAGCATGACTTTTTTTCAAAAATGACCTTGACTCCCAGGTCGACCTAGCCTTGAGTGGGTACCGGTGCAGTCCCGGGAAGTAAAGGTGGCTGATATGATGCTGACCACATCACCCATCTTGTGATGATTGGTCTATAAAAATATAGGTCTAGCCCTATATGCCTAAAGGCGCGGAAAAGGGACCTTTACTTAAAAAAATTTTTTTATAGTGAATACAACGGTTTTTCTTATTTATTTATTTATGTTTGCATTATAATATGATTATTATGTGTTACTATATTTACAGTGTACTGTATTTAGGAAAATATATTTTAAAATTTGAGTTTGTTGGACTGTGAATCAGATAAATTTAGTTTCCATTATTTTCAATGGTAAACTGCCTTAGAACTTGACCAATTTGTAATTCGAACACTGTCTCTAAACAGATTATGTTTAAATTTCAAAGTATCACTATAGTTGTTTCCTGGTATTTACACTGTGCTATAGCTAATTCAGCTTTTTATTTGTACAAAATTTTCTTCTTCTGTGTTGTCTGCAGCTGGTGCATAAGATAATAATAACTAATTTTTGCCGCTTATTCTGACTAAAAGAACACAATATGATATCGTCACATACTGTTTTATTTTAGTTAATTCTCTGTTCAAGATTACACTGACACCCCTTTCATGTTTATAGTCTCATGAGTATATTCCCTCTGCTTCAGTCAATCTCATATCCCTTTCATGTTTATAGTCTCATGAGTATATTACCTCTGCTTCAGTCTATCTCATATCCCTTTCATGTTTATAGCCTCATGAGTATATTCCCTCTGCTTCAGTCTATCTCATATCCCTTTCATGTTTATAGCCTCATGAGTATATTCCCTCTGCTTCAGTCAATCTCATATCCCTTTCATGTTTATAACCTCATGAGTATATTACCTCTGCTTCAGTCTATCTCATATCCCTTTCATGTTTATAGCCTCATGAGTATATTCCCTCTGCTTCAGTCTATCATATCTTTCATGTTTATAGCCCTTTGCTTGTTTATATAGCCTCATGAGTATACTCCCTCTGCTTCAGTCTATCTCATATCCCTTTCATGTTTATAACCTCATGAGTATACTTCAGTCTATCTCATATCCCTTTCATGTTTATAGCCTCTTGAGTATATTCCCTCTGCTTCAGTCTATCTCATATCCCTTTCATGTTTATAACCTCATGAGTATATTCCCTCTGCTTCAGTCTATCTCAAATCCTACAATCTTGTTTTATTTCCTTTTTTTATGGTTCCAGTTTACCCAAATGCATGATGTTCTCAGACTACTGTTCCAACAACTAAATACACTATTTCTTGTCTGGCCTTCATTAGCTGGGTAATGGCCTGTTGCAGCTGCAGCACATGAGGTTTGATTACTGCTTACTGATTTAAGAATCGACATCACAGCACACCATGAATACCCATGTATAAAGTTGATTAAGTAATCAGCACACCATGTATACCCATAGGTGATAAGTCTCCAGCAGCAATTGGCTTGAGGTGTAGATGTTAAGTGTTCCCATAGCACCCTGAATATACACACGCTGCTCTCTTCCTTCCATATGTCGCTCCTCGGCGGATCCACACTTCATTCCTCATTCACACATTCCTGCATATGTTATTTTATCTAATCTCGTGTCTTCTGTCAACATTCTTTCATATATGGTCTTCAGAATATCTTCCTTTTCCAGTATGAGTGTTCCCATCACAATCGCTTTTGTAGCCAGATAATCGGCTCTTTCATTGCCTCACACTCCTGCATTTCCCGGACATACAGTGCAGTTCTCTACCAGTTGAGGCAGTCCCTGAACTCTTTTGACATTCTTTATGTCAAATAACTCAGGGCACTCAGACATGACTTTTTTAAACCTCGCAAACTCAATGTAGGTTAACATTTCTTTATGGGATTGCTGTGCCAATACTATACTCAATGCACTCATTATTTGAGGTGACGGGTTTGAGTCCCAGCAGGGCAACTTTAGCTTTCTATTTTTATGTTGTCTAATGTGTTCTTTTATATTTCTACTTCTTTCTATTAATGCCAATTAATTCACTGTTTGTTTGTTTGTTTATTATATATAATGTTTATACGGCCTCAAGGGTTCCCCCTCAGTTTATTTATGTACAACACTGGACTGGACATCTCAGCCCTTGTGCCTAGAAGGACATTCTCTGCCTAGCATAGTTGAAGTGGTGACTTGCTCTGAAAATTTTTCAACTGCTTCTCAATATTAGGACAGTTGACATCAGTTTAAAAAGTTAGCTGCTTATATTTTAACCACTTGTTGCATGTAAGTGTAACATGTAAATCAAGTAAAACATTTACTTACAATCTTCCAAGCTGGCAAATGTTTTGCCTAGGAAATTTACATCTTCTCTGGGAATTGAGTACTGGGCCCTTTCTTGAAATCTTTCAACTTTGCCCAGTCCTACAAAAGATTAAACACACCTCAGTGCTAGGATAAGACAGTCTACTGGAGAATAAATAGATGGTTATGTCACCATAACTTTGTCCTACAAAAGAATAGACCTCTCAGTGCCAACAATAAAAATGTTTCGCTTATTTTGCATATTTGTGAACAGTCGCATTTTAACAGTAATTCATTCACTCATTCATTCACTTAGCATTCTACCCTTACTAATTGGTTAATTAATGGTAAGTCATCAGGAAGACTGACTTTTAACTGTCAAATGACCCATCTACTGGAGTGAGACTGATACAGAGCTCTTTGTCCCAATGCTGGAGTACCACAGGAGTGTGGGAACCTGGGGCTTATGTACTTTGAAGATCCCTTCCCATCCCCACGTGCAAGAAAAAAAGTTCAAGGGGGTGGGGGGGGGGGGGGGTGAGGATGGTATTTATTAGATAAACATAGTTTTTGACAAACTGTGAAACTGGCTTTAATCAGGTAATTGCAATTCCACCTGCACAGCAAATGGACCACCCAGAGCTGCTCCATTCCTGCTGTGCCAATGAAAACCACACAGAATGTCAACCACTGTTCCTTGTGGCAAAACAAAGAACAGATACAGATAGCAGTCTCAGCAAAGCCAATAGCATTCAGTGCATAAAGCAGCCATCAGAAGTTCCAAAATAAATAATTTGGCACTAGAAGTGCAGTTCATCATTGATGGAAGCAGCAGTTACAACAAATCAGTAGCTGCACATGCAATTAATTTCATAAGGTACCAAGATTTTATGTGGCAACAGGCTACTTGTCACTTTCTGAATCTGCAGTTCACGACACATACCACACTGGGCACAGTATATAAGCATTTGAAATGATGATATTCCCAGTGTCACAGTGTAGCGTCATGGACTCAACACTGTAGCCGGGCAACGGAAATATATTCTTTCAGTCTACATACAGAGAAAAATGCAACAGCTAGCTAGTGTAAGAAGCAAATAATTGCCACAACTAAAAAACAGTAATCCTACCTATTCGACATATTGACCAGAAGTTCAACAAGAGTTAAACTAGCATTAAACTTGAGATACATATGAAAGCTCACAGTGACAGAATTCAGCAGCAACATAAAGAAGACAGCCTATGACTCAGTACATTTCAACTACCAACCTGGGAATAAGGTCTTCAGGTGAGCCTCCAACTGATCCATCAGAGTTTCAACCTGTCCATCCTCATGGGCACCCAGCTTCACCTCCAAGATGTAACCACTGCCATATTTGTCCTTCAAGTGTTGGGTAGAGCCCAGACATCTGCTCACAAGATCAACCACCAATATTTATACACTAATAGTTTTAAAGTCTAGATTTACAAGAATAGTACAACAATAAGTGTAAAATTACAATCAGCCAATTAACAAAAATAGAAAGAAGAAATGATGAACTTTACAAGACAACAATCATAAGTGACAGATAAACTCGATGTTCACTCTGCTTTTTTGTTGTTGTTGTAGTTGATTGGTGAATTGTACAGTAAGATCTAAGACAGGGTCACAGTAACAGTTGGTCTAAGACAGATCAGGTTAACATAACAGCTGGTCTAAGACTGGGAAAGAAACAGATGGTCTAAGACAAGCAGGGTTAAATCAACAGTTGGTCTAAGATAATAGTAATTAAAATACAGTTAATCTAAGACAGGCACAGTTAAAGTAACAGCTGGTCTAAGACACATGGGGTTACAGTAACAGTTGACATATGACAGAGATGGGGCTAAAGTAATTACTGGTCTAACGCAGATAGGGTTAAAGAAACAGGTGGTCTAAAACAGATAGGATTAAATAAGAGCTGGTCTAAGGCAAATAAGGTTAAAGTAACCGCTGGTTTAAAACAGATTGAGTTTAAGTAACAGTTGGTTTAAGATAGATGGTGGTATAAAAACAGAGGTCAAAGGCAGATGAGGTTAAAGTAACAATACCTTTCTGTCCCATTTTCGCAATGAAGGTAGGCTGCATTAGATGCAAACATATTTGAGATTATATAGTGGGTCCTCAATCTCTTCCAGGATGAGACTTACATACCACACAGCAAAGAACAATCTTACAGGTCTGGCAAGTTAGTTTTCCAAATTCAATCCCCAGTAGAGGAAAGATTATTTTCTCTAAGACAGCCTCGAGGTCGACACAGTCTCTAACAATAGTTACCAGAAAATTTTCAGAATGGGGAAAAAGGCGATGAAAGGAACTGCCCACCCATCTCATATACCGTAGCCTACAATATGTAACAAGTTGACAAGTCATGCCTCAGCATCATTGAATGCTGTAGGATTACCTTTTCCTGTGTAGTCATTTTAGTCAGGGATTTGTTTGAATCTATCTGTGGTTAGACACAGAGATTGAACACAAACATGGCAGACAAACACAAGGATCTACATACTCTAGCTGACCATTGATCATAATCCCAACCCGGTCACACAGAGCGTCTGCTTCTTCCATGTAATGGGTGGTCAAGATGGCTCCTCTGTCTGTGCCTCTAAAACTAGAGCTGATAGTGTCCCTGAAATACATAAAGATGTTCTTTGTCTCAGTGTGTCTGAATTCAGCTCTTGAAGCATGATTACATCAAAATCGTATATCAACCTCTCTGTCTGGCACTGTGACAGTTCCAAAATCACACACTTACATTTATGCAGATTGGCTGGATCTGCACCACTAGGTGGTGAACTGAAACATGACAAGGCAGATGTGGTTAAGGCGCTTTGGGAACAAGCAATGAAATCAGTAATGAAACAAGATTATGGCCTGGAGAGATTGAGGCACATGGGTGTAACCAGAGGGTCTGGGCGGCTCACTACACTCAGAGGAAAGGCAAGACGGAAGACATATAACCAGATTATGACCGGTAGCATCAGTATTGGAACTCTGTGCTGGCTGCTGAAGATGAGGACGGAGCATACATGGGAATGCCCAGAGTGCTGTGATGTCAATTCTTGACTCAACTCAACTGTCTCAGTTTCAGTTAGTTCAGATTCCATGCCATCTTCACAATATTCTCAAACAAGTAGGCTACTCACTATCTGCTGAGTCAGGGGTTTGGGTTCAATCCATGGGAGCTTCAGGATTTTTCTGGTACAAGACAATTTCAATTATTTTCTGGAAAGGAAGAATTTGTTACTCTACCTTACACATCATGACCTTATATATGTGAAGGCCTAACACTTCACATCCCAATGTCTGCATCTGCTATGAAACTACTTTTTCTCAAGACTAGTACACAAATTGCATCTAGAAACATGGATAACATCAGAGAGAAACTGTATTACACAGCCCATGAATACCCATGAATAGTATTGTAAAAGAAAAACTGTATTTGTAGAAATGACCTGCTAATTTTATAAAATAACATGTTCAAAAACTTGACTATCTACATCTGATTTCTCTGATCACTTTACGTGTCCTCTGTTTCTTGTAGTGCTACTTTATTTTGTCCTGCCCATCCATGGTATCTTTGTATTTTCTTTAGAAACCACACTTCTGCTGACAATAAATGTTTCCCACTGTCTGTTTATTGTCAATGTTTCATATGCATTCAATACTGCAACTGATATCTTTTTACTGGTGAGTGCGCTTTTCCATTAAAAAAAAAAGGTTACTTCTGCTATGGTGTTTCTTGTTCTCATCTTTACCAGGTATCTAGTGTCAGATCTTATGACTGTTCCATGTTAATTGTACTGATTACTTGTTTAACACTTACTGGGATGGCACACTACATAATTTTTGCAATAAAAAACAGCTGGTCACTTGGGGTTAACACAAGGGCTGGTTACAACATTTACCTCCTAATAACTTACCAGAGAAAATATCACATCTTACCAGAGAAAACATCACAACTTACAAAAGAAAATATCTTAACTTACCAAAGAAAACATCACAACTTACCAAAGAAAACATCACAACTTACCAAAGAAAACATCGCAAGTTACCAAAGAAAACATCGCAACTTACCCAAGAAAACATCACACCTTACCAAAGAAAACATCACAACTTACCAAAGAAAACATCACTATTTATTTACCAAAGAAGACATCACAACCTACCAAAGAAAACATCACAACTTACCAAAGAAAACATCAATATTTATTTACCAAAGAAAACATCCCTATTTATTGACCAAAGAAAACATCACAACTTCCCAAAGAAAACATCACAACTTACCAAAGAAAACATCACAACTTACCAAAGAAAACATCACAACTTACCAAAGAAAACATCACGACTTACCAAAGAAAACATCACAACTTACCAAACAAAACATCACAACTTACCAAACAAAACATCAATATTTATTTACAAAAGAAAACATCCCTATTTATTGACCAAAGAAAACATCACAACTTACCAAAGAAAACATCACAACTTACCAGAGAAACCGTTTGGACTGTGGGTCCATGCCAGTTGAAGGCTCATCCAGGAGAACAAAGTGTGGGGAGCCCAGAATACTCATGATATAGCTCAGCTGTTGTGAAACCATATACTCTATTAATTCTTTAACACAAACAGCTAAACTTACATTAATGGTCTAAGAAGAAAGTCCAGCTAAGGAGTATAACAGGAGTATAATTTGGCTATAGAATGTTGTTCAACATGTCTACAGTTAATAAAGCAGACTAAGTTTGGAAAGATACTGACCATGATACCAACAGAGGGTTGCTCTAAACAAAACTAGGGGCCAGCACCATATGATCGGTATGCTTCTTGTCATCAAAAGCGAGGGTTTGCTTGCCTTTACTTGTAGTTAATCAAATTATCATATCAAATCTAGATAATCAATCTTCAATGTATATAATACAGCAGAACTCTGAAAATCAGTCAGATTACTTAAATTGTGTTTAATCAAACATTTGTTTTCATCAGGAAAAATGTGCTTCGCATACAAGAATGCATAAGCTTGTGTATTCATTAAATGATCCCCAAAAGCAGATTATTATAAGGCACCTTTACACCCCAGGACAGAAGTGAAATAACCAAATAAGATAATGATGAAGAATTAAGTAATCAGATCACATATCAAGAAAGACACTCACTTTCCGCTTGGTTCCTCCAGACAATTTTTTGGCATATTTCTTGCGATGTTTTTCAAGCTTCAGCTGTACAACAAAGCTGTTGAACAAAATAACTGGTTCAAAAATCAGTTGGAAAATAGACAGTTTCATAACCTTTTATTCCTCAATAAAGCATGTCCTCTAGGGCTCTCCCATCTTTGGCTAATCTATGAAGCTGCTTCCATGAACGGTAACACTCTTGGTCTCTAATTCTTTTGTCATGGTGTTTTTAAAATTCTCCTAAAGTCTTTTACTTTGAAGATTCTAGAAGTCATGAAATGAACTAATTCCCTCAATGTGCAACATACTGAACCCCATGTCTGCTCCTTACTTTTTGACTTACTGGAAGATAGCTCTACCCATGAGCTCAACTTACCATCTTAGACCATGTTTTAATGTTGATAATATGCTACAGAGCAGTAGAAAGAACAATGATACAGATATGCGAAAAATGGGGGGGGGGGGAAGAGGGGTTTAGATTACTTGGAGCTTAATGGCATTTATGAGAACAGGTGACACTGTATTAACATGAGGTCCAATAGTAATACTGTTTGGTTTCTGTGGTTTAGGTGTTGCGAATGCTGGGGTATCAGGTTCGATCCCAGCTGTGGGTGATTTGGCAGCAATACGTTTTGCGTCAGTTTCAACAATGGTACAGAGAGCTGACTGTTCAGGTGGCAGTGGCAAACTACTGAATTTGTCTAGAAAACTACAACAGCTGAGGCTGGTTCTGCAGCGACCTGTAAGGGATACATATGTAACTTTTTTTTTAAACAGTCAAATAATAGAGGACAAAATCCAGGAGAGAAAAAAGCAAACTAAGAGAATAAACAAACTTACACAACATGCAAAAATATGGAAGAGGAAGATCTTTGCAGAAACAAAGAGAGCTGCAGACAATAAAGGACTGGTGTGACATGATCACACAAGCAGCAGTCTCTGGACTGACTATCTGAAGACAATAATTACAATGGTGTTGAATTATGGTCTAATACAAATGTTAGTTTATTAGTTGTGGTTCAAACTTCATGGCAATGTGTCACCCTCTTGTGCTAAATTCCTATACAAGCTTGCTCATGCATTAAATACATAAGGCAGAGGCCAGGGATGCCTACATCAACAGTCTCTTTTAGAATTAAAGTTCATCACAGATGGAAGCCATAACAAATCAGCAGTTACACAGGCATTAATTTATAAGGCAAAGCGCCAGTTCCTAATGCGAGTGTATAAACACAAGTGATTATCAACTTCATATCCGACAGATGTTGAATGATTGTACTATAGCAGTGGAATAAAGAAGACACATGAAGAGAGCTTGCAGCAGAAGAGAAATTAGATGTACAAGAAGGTGTAAGACAGATCAGAACTTATTCAAAAAGAACTATTTTTTTAAAGGCAGATGATGCATCTGGGTTAGACACAAACAAAGAAAAAGCTGTGTTATTTAAAAAAAAAAAAAAGATAGTGTCTTAGATACTGAGAAAAGTGAAGAAGAGGGCACTAGATGAATGTAGAGAAGTACAATCTGAGGTTTAGGATTGACTGGAGGGTAACTAAGTAAAAATAGAGTGTAACATGAGTAACTGAAGCTAGTATGCATTAATGTGAACTCCACCTGAAACTCTAAGATTAGTGATCTTCTAAGCTAGAGAGAAGTCACCAAACAAACTGTCGATCAGTCATAGAGAAAGCTACCTTGTACACTCTGGGATGAAAATGTGGCAGCATCAACCCTGTACATTCAGCAGATCACCAACATTAAGATTCTACTGTAGACAATTGGACAACACTGGGATCATTAACATCATTGACGACTGAGCAACAATGGGATCATCAACATCACAGGCAAATGAGCAACAATGACATCTCAACATCACAGACAACTGAGCAACACTGGGATCATCAACACCACAGATAATTGAGCAACACTGGGATCATCAACATCACAGACAACTGAGCAACACTGGGATCATCAACATCACTGGCAAATGAGCAACAATGGCATCTCAACATCACAGACAAGTGAGCAACACTGGAATAATAAAAATTAAAATAGTATCATCATCTGTGTCACAACTACAGCCATAAGTAAGTAAGACTGGGTTGTTAGCAGACTTACTAATCAACAATTCTATCTAGGTCCTTTGAATGAACTCCTTTAATTGCTGCGAAACACTTCACGTGTTCCTCCAAGGTGATCATCTCCCACAATGCATCATGCTGAGGACAGTAGCCCAGGGACTCCAACACTGACAACATATTGGAGCGGATGTTGTGACCAGCTACAACAACCTGGAAATATAGAGAGCATCAATACAACTACTTGCACACACAGACAACCTCAGTATGGCTACATGCATAAATTACATTAACCAACTAAAACAGCCCTAATGCAGGTACTGCTGTTTAGATATGAAGTATCAAGCCTGCACACAGAGAGGGAATCAGCAACACTCAACACACAAAAGAATACAAGAACTTGAGATCAAGAGAAGTGTCAACAAACATAAACACTATACAGGTAGCCAAAGAAAAATATTTTTTTTAAAAACACTTAACAGGTGGTATCAGTCGCCAAATGCTAAAGAATATACTGAAGATAGGATCTGAGTGCTAATGGACTTGGCTGATGCACAATGAGGATAATCTGTCAGTTAACTTACTAACTTTGCAGAGGAAATTACAAAGTCTCTGGGAATCCCCATTTATGAAGCACACAAACAGGTACTTTCCCACAAACTGTACTTCACCTCGGAACGGCAAGGTTCAAGATGAGATGATGATGCTTTAGGCCAATATATATACATCAGCTGAGATAACCAGTTGACCTACTCATTTGTCTTGCCTTCGGAGACAATTGTAGAAACTGTCTGTTGTCTATGAGGCTTTGATGACCCTATAGACACACTGGTTTTAGAACATTCCTGTATCTTTTGAGGACTGAACCCAAATCACTGTCTTATCATGCAAGTGACCAACCACCGCAGCTCTCAATACAACTATATGGTTAACAACACCAATACAAATTTCCACAAAATATAAACAATAAGACTACACAAATCTACAAATTTAAACAGCAATAACACAACTGTCTATAAATTTAAACAGCATCAATACATCTACCTTGCAAACCAGAAAATAAATTGGCCGTGCTTGGAAAGCTATTTAAATCAACAGGAAAACAATAAATGAAACACAACTGCCACAAATACAAACATTATGTTGTAGGTGTACTTATTCTGAACCGTTGCCAGAGCAGTAAGACCTACCCTGTATTATTTCCAAAACAGAAATAAATCAAAAGTCCACCTAAGACACAAAAGATCTTGCCAATGTGTTAATCACTGTTGGTGTCCACAGTAAGGAGTTTGAAAGTTCAAGTTAAAGACTGCACGTTGTATGGAGATGACACACTGTGTGCTGACCAGATCTGTTCTGTTGATATGATACTTTTGTTTGCTATGTGTGCCATGCCAGGGAAACAGTTGTCAACAGGCAAAGGACCCCGTTTGAGATGTGCGCGAGTTGCGAGAATGCATGATAATAAAAGGCTCCCACTGATATGGGCAAAGGCCATTAAATCAGTGAAACATACAAACTCACAATTTAAAGGTACAATTCAACGTAACTGGTACATAACATAATACATTCTACAAGCCAAGTCTAGGGAACAATCATAGATGAATTCCGCTGTAAGCGGTGGTCAAAATATAACAGGCAATATCTAGAACTCCTGACATAACATCACAACCTTAATGGTAATAGTCAACTCCAAGGTGTCCAAACGTAAATCAAATGATGAAGGTCATGCATGCAGTATCAACACTGGTGTATTATGAACACTATGATCTGAACTAAAATGTGTAATAAGTGATATGTGGACAAGATTCACCCAAAACACTCAGGTCACTCCCTAGTGTACTCACACTCGCCTTGAAATATTAGAATCCATATTCCATATCGGATTCGTTATCAACTCACAATAGGTCAACAGCTCGACCTTAAACATTGACTGTTTTTTCAACAAATCAGTATGCAGTTCAATACTAATGAATACGGCTACGACATTTCTTTAACATTATCTAGCAGACCCACTTGGCTAAAGTGTCCGTAATCAATGATCCTGCTTCCTGCAGAAAAAGCAGTAATGCTTGGCACACAGGCTGAAATTTTCGGTGGGATCCTGGGGTAAACCTTCCCTTGGGATGAGCTCACAAGGACAACAACGTCCGTCTCCTTTGACTTTTCGACTGCAAATCCCCTAATAACAAAATGTAATACTTATGATGTCTTTTTAGCCTAGTCATTATTGGTGTGTTTTAGTGCACATCTACATGCAACACGTCAAAGGAATCAGTCTGCAGCTGATCTCCCCCGTGTCTGTGCTAATGTTGATTATCTTTCAGGTCATGTTTGCAAATGTCCATTTAGCAAAGCTCTGTCCCTCCTGCAAGTTTTATCTCTGTTCCCAGTTTGCCATACAATAACTACAGATGACAAAACAGTGTAACTCTTACCTTCCCACATGTGGGTGATACTTCAGCAGTCATCATATTTAAGGCAGTACTCTTGCCAGCTCCGTTTGGCCCTAAAAGTCCTAAAACCTCTCCCTCATCAACGCCAATGCTCAAGTTCCGCACAGCAATCTTGACTTTAGTTTTGCTGGGTTTGCACATTCCCTCCGACCTGGTGCGCTTCACAAACAACTTGCGCAGCTGTGACATATAAGCCACTGGAGCCTTGTAAACAAAGAAATCAACATCAACTGAAAACAGACTGGAAAGTGTTGTCCACATAATCAGTGATAGAATGGAAGCAAATATTTAAAACATGAACAAACATACACACACATGCAATTTAAAAAAGTGTCAAGAAGGAAACTAATACTGGAAAGACAAGGAGTAGAAAAAATATAGCATAGATAAAACAGATCTATAAATGCAGGTTTTATGTTTAGGTTTAGACGACGGATCATGGCACAAGGGGTAACTCATAAGTGCTCTGTTCTACTTCTGACTCAAGCCTGAGTCCAAAGAATCTCAGCATAGTGCACGAACTCCATAGCATTGACAAAAATCCTGAAATACTAATGGGCAGCATCGTTAGGCTACTCTTTGTGATTTCTAACTGCCAATGGATTTTTGTTTACGTGTGCAACAATACACACGGATGTCCGATCTTACTACCCAGAAACCAGGGGAAATTACTTAAAGTCCACGTGAAAAATCCCAGCCTTCACCTGGGTCTGAGTCCGGGACCTCCAGTTCTCATGGCGGACACCATGCCTCAAAACCAGAGAACGACCCTATCAAGGCAGACATACAAGGAATGAAAGAGGAAGGGGTAGACCAAATACATAAAACAGATCTATCAATGCATACAAGGAATGACAGAGGAAGGGTTGACTAAATACAACATATATAAAACAGATCTATCAATGCAGATGAACAAGGAATGAAAAAGGAAGGGTAGACCAAATACAACATACATAAAACAGATCTATCAATGCATACAAGGAATGACAGTGGAAGGGTAGACTAAATACAACATATATAAAACAGATCTATCAATGCATACAAGGAATGACAGAGGAAGGGTAGACTAAATACAACATATATAAAACAGATCTATCAATGCAGATGTACAAGGAATGGAAGAGGAAGGGTAGACTAAATACAACATATATAAAACAGATCTATCAATGCAGATGTACAAGGAATGAAAGAGGAAGGGTAGACTAAATACAACATATATAAAACAAATCTATCATTGCAGACGTACAAGGAATGAAAGAGGAAAAGCAGACTAAATACAACATACATAAAACAGATCTATCAATGCAGACGAACAAGGAATGAAAAAGGAAGGGTAGATCAAACACAACATATATAAAACAGATCTATCAATGCATACAAGGAATGATAGAGGAAGGGTAGACTAAATACAACATATATAAAACAGATCTATCAAAGCAGATGTACAAGGAATGAAAGAGGAAGGGTAGACTAAATACAACATATATAAAACAGATCTATCAATGCAGATGTACAAGGAATGAAAGAGGAAGGGTAGACTAAATACAACATATATAAAACAGATCTATCAATGCAGACGTACAAGGAATGAAAGAGGAAAAGCAGACTAAATACAACATATATAAAACAGATCTATCAATGCAGACGAACAAGGAATGAAAAAGGAAGGGTAGACCAAACACAACATATATAAAACAGATCTATCAATGCATACAAGGAATGATAGAGGTAGGGTAGACTAAATACAACATATATAAAACAGATCTATTAATGCAGATGTACAAGGAATGAAAGAGGAAGGGTAGACTAAATACAACATATATAAAACAGATCTATCAATGCAGACGTACAAGGAATGAAAGAGGAAAAGCAGACTAAATACAACATATATAAAACAGATCTATCAAGCAGACATACAAGGAATGAAAGAGGAAGGGTTGACTAAATACAACATATATAAAAAAGATTTATCAATACAGACATACAAGGAATGAAAGAGGAAGGGTAGACCAAATAGAACAATCCCAAAACAGGCAGGCACATGTCTTTGATGTAGACATCCATGGAATGAAAGAGAATGGCACAAGAAAGGTAACTAGGGAATGGAATAAAATGGACCAGCCTATGGGTGGAAATACCTGATGATGATGATGATGATGATGATGACGATGATGTAAGGACATTTTGTTCCAGGTGTTTTCTCAATTCCGGGTGAGAAATATTTTCAAGATACAAAAAATACAATCCACTTAAAGAAATTACACTTTAAAAAAAAACATATACCTATAATTATTTCTAAATAAAAGAAACTAATATAAATACAAGCTCATTTATAGATCAGCAGTACACATTTTAGCTAAGGGTAGAAAAAGCATAAAGATTTTTAACTGAACAATGCCTGGTTAGAAAAAAGATGCACTGTTAGTACATTTGACATCAGTTTAAAAAATTAGCTGCTTATATTTAACAAGAACCAACTCCAGAATCTGTCTGTGATTTAACTATGCAATGTTACATTCATTAATCTAGCACTGCACCCTGCACAGTCGGCTCTTGATACCACGGTTAAAATCAACTCACAGCAAATTCAATTAAACAAAAGCAATTAAAAAGCAATTTAAAGAATGAAACAATTTTAAGCAAGGCAAAAAAAAAAAAAAAAACCATGCATGAATGATTAATACCTCCCCCCACCCCCATTTTAAGCAACTGCAACAAAACACCCACTGAGCATTCTCTTTTTATGTTACTGTTTGTTAATACTAGCATGTTAATAAGGCAGCTCTTTCAGGATATTAAAATTTCTAGTCTTTTTTTTATAAATTTCTTTTTTACTTCTATGATAATCTGCTTTTTCAATAAAGGCATGAGAAGTAAACAATAGTAGACATTAAACATTGCTGACTAGCCAGAAAATCAATAAATTATTCATATCATGTACTATATTAACAAACTTATTACATTTTAACATCTTTAGGCAAGAGAGAGTATTTAACCCTTTAGCAAAGGTGGCAAAGATGAAGGGGCTTAAGCTTTGTTTAAATGCACAATAACAATTATTATTATGCGCTTAATGGCAAATAAATTTAACAATTATAAGAGAGGGCCCTCAACCTAAACATTCAGGAAAAGGGGGGGGGGGGGGGGGGGTCGGGTCAGTGTGCCTGAGCTCCAGTTTCCGGTGCCTGTGATCACTACTATCCAAATTTCTGACATTTTAATCAAACTGATACTACTTATTATTTGCTGCCCAGCTGTTTGAGCTCTCCACATACATCCACCTCTGCCTAATACTTTCTCTGTATTTTCCCAACATAAGGCTAATTTCTTAATTCAACTTTGCCTAGAGATAAATCCCCATAAATTTTATGTGTCCTTCCAGTTTGGGTTTGATGAGTGATTTTGTAACATCCACAGCTTTCAATATATCAGTGCTTGTCTTCCTTGTCCAGATATTTTCTGCAATATTTACAAAGATACATCCCCACTGTGTCCAGTACATGCTTTATGGGAAAATAAGTCTCACATGTTTTAGTGAGCAGCTTTCTGTACTTGTCATGATGTTTCTGTTTCTCCAAGTTTTTCATTAAATTAATTTTAAAAACAGTTTCTTTTAAAATGTGAAAACAAATTAAAGCAACAAAAGGAAAGAGCTGAAAGGAATTGTTCAGTATTATAAGGGGTTACTTGGACAAATTAGATTCTAAATACAGCCTAAACCTAATCAAAGATAACATACAGAATAATACTGGCAAAAGGCAACATTTTAGTAGATGCAGAACATTCCTTCTGTGTAAGTTATTCCTGTTCATATGTTAGAAAATAAGTTTTAGGATATATACTATACTGGATATATACTGTACAACTACTGCATGCATAGACTTATATATCAATACAGACATACACTGAAGTCAAGAAAACAGCACATAACAGACACCTATTGTTGATTAATTTAAAAAAAAAAATGCTTTATGACCAGCCCAAAGAATGCAATACTTGTTGCCTGATGTACAAAAGATACAGTTCAGATTGATCATTAAGACATGTTTCTCAAACTACATAAATCTTCTACTTTGAAATTTAACTTTACAGCTTTATCAGATATATATTAATTTTACAACAGGATACATTTATATTTTACTGCCTACTTAAGGATGCCCTATTTTGAACTTCTGAAATGAGGACACTTCTCCTAACATTCAAATCCGTTGAAATTGTGTTCCTGTTAATTTTTCTGATGATCTTATCTTTTATAGAATGTCTTTAAAGCCCACAAAATTGCCTGCATGTGAAGGTTTGAAATTAAATGTTTCAAGTGAAATTAGCTTGATGGAATCCATACAAATGACTGATTGAAGAAATGAGTCTTTCTATGAAGCATTGCATATTGGAATTGCAAAGAAGAATTGTGATATCTTCACAATTGAAAGTATATTTCACTATTCCTATAGTTTCCAATATAGTCATACAGAGTTAATTTTGTCTTGACTTGTAAAACTGAGCATGTATCTAATGTTTGCGGATGCTCAGATGCACTTGTGAAATGAGGATGTGTCAGCAAAAATGAGGATGTATGCCAATCCTTTGCCTGTTCTGTTTTAAACATAATTTTCAGCATTTAAGAATGGAAATTACACTAAAAAAACAAAAACAAAAACAAAACAATAACAACACTGATGGTAAAGTAAGATTGAAACGGTAAAGTAAGATTGAAACCACCAAAGAAATGTTTAACAGAAGTACAGGTATGAGTACCTTTGAATTCATGTCAGTCAAGCCTCGTGCTGAACTAAAACTCTGAATAAAAAACAAACACAAAGGCATACCTAAATGAATATACATCATTACTAAATAGTTTTCTTAAAGACAAAATGGTTTCCTTCATGAATTCTTCATAATTGTCTTTGAATAGATCAACTACAAAACAAGGAATTGCTTACAGCTGATAACTACCAGTTACATATCAACTAACTATCAATCTATTTCAAGCCAACAGATCACTGCCTGGGCTCATTCTATGCATAACATTACTGACTTGGTTATATCTATACTAAGAACAAACATTACTAACTTAGCTATATCTATACTAAGAACAAACATTACTAACTTGGCTATATCTATACTAAGAAATTACATTATTATCTTGGCTCATTCTATATGTAACACATCTGTCTTGGCTCATTTGTACATATACATCTGTCAGGTTCATTTTATACATAACAGCAAGTAAATTTGGTCACTCCTACACTACTTGGAAAGGAGAATTCTAGTTTTCGAACATAAAGGCTATAGACGAATTTTACAATTATCTATTTAAAACATAAAATGAATTAAAATGTAAGAGACAAAATAAACCAAATCACAGGACATGAGGAGCCTCTTCTGACGGTGATAAAAATTGCTAGCTAGAATGGATTGACACATGGTGAGGCATAATTCGATTGCAAAGACCATATATACTTCAAGGAATACTGGAAGGAGGGAGTGAGCGGGTAGTGGAAGTAGAGGTTAGGCAAACAACAACCTGGAATTACAACATAAAAAAAATGGATAGGACTAAATTATTATACACTGGTTCAACAAGTGGAAGACAAGTGAACGATGGCGGTTTTTGTGTGCTAATGCAAAACACCTCCACGACCCCAGCAGGTAAAGGTTAGTTATAACTTTGCTAATTATACACAATTTTTTTAGGAGTGCTCACTCCATCTACAACAACAGATTGTTTGAGCTTATTCTATACATAACACATCTGGCTTGGCTCATCTGACACCCAGAAAATATTGAGGGGGTAGAAAACATGGTCAGTGTATAACAGAATGCTTCTTGCTAGTGGACCGCAGATCAAAAGCAACCATTCAATTTTCTGACTCATTATTCCTTAAGGCAGGTCAATGCAGTCAGGGAAAAATCTACATGGAGGAGAATTTAAACCCAGGGCCATTAAAATGGTGTGTGAATGCCATTATCAGCTCCTTAGCTAAATCAAAGAACAATAACACTTCGCTAGTAACACTAAGTATGCCATAGGTGACTAAAGGTAGGACAGATCTTGAAGTTGGCTGGCTAACTCCTGCTGTAAAAAACTTCAGCCACAAAAGCCAATCAGCTATGAATGAATGCTGAATGTTGAGTTAAGAATCGACATCATAGCACTTGGGACACTCCTATAAACACTCCGTCCCCTATCTTCAGCAGCAAGTGAAAAGTTCCAATTCCGATTGCACCAACTGAACAAGGTCGCCCAAGTTTGCTGAGGGCCTATGCTCCTAGTGGGGAATAAAGAACAGAAGAAGAATGCAACTCCTAAAGTGTCTGTGATGATTCTGCACATATTATTCTTTTCAGATTTGTTTTTAAACGTACCCTACGGTCCTCAGGGTGTAGATGTTCAATTCTGTGTCTCTCAGCTTTGACATCTTCATCCTCATTTTCAATGATGTCGGTGTTGACACGTTCTGATGTGTCTGTCGACTCTGAAAAGCAAGGAAATGCTTCCAAAATAAGACCACCAGCCTTCTTCACATCAAGGATCCGCAGCAGCCAGTACATCCAAAACAGGTGGATTATGGGCTATCAAGAAATAAAACAAAATATTCTAATCAAACTAAACATATTACATCCTTACAATGATTAAACTAACTAGTTACATTTACCACAGTAAGACTTATATCTTAGGTAGTAAACTAACCGCAGTCCGTTAAGAAATTCATAAAAACAGTTGCAATTTATTTTTTTTAAACTTCCTGTTAAATCACAATGATATTTTGCATGCAGCTTTCATTATCCATGACTTAAAAAAAAAAGTGCTACTTATGTCCATAGATGCTCAGGGTTTTTCTAATCAGCCAATTCCTTTGATCTTTTCGTACCCATGTAAATAAGTAGAGTGAAACATTAGATTTTACAGTAAACATGTTAATTTAAAATTGAATTTTTTTTTCTTTAGAAGCATATCTTCATAATACATAATAAATGAAAATAAATGTAATGTCGTTTATGTTAAATTGTAAATAGTCTCAATATGCAACAGTTAATATTCACCTTTGGTCACCTTTAGACTCCGGGGTGTAACTTACTTGTACTGCAAATTGTTTCATGGTACATTTGGATATGGAAATTTATTTGTTGCCACTGTAAATATACCTAACAGGTGGATGATATTCAACCACTCATTAAAAAAATTGGTTTTAATCATTCAGAATCTGGCGATTGACGATTGCAAAAGACTGATAGCTGTTACTGGCTAAACAAATTATAATCCATCTCACTGACAGTACTTGTCTTCCTCTCGGAGCCAACAGATCACTGCCTTGGCTCATTCTATGCATAACATTGACGATTGCAAAAGACTGATAGCTGTTACTGGCTAAACAAATTATAATCCATCTCACTGACAGTACTTGTCTTCCTCTCGGAGCCAACAGATCACTGCCTTGGCTCATTCTATGCATAACATTGACGATTGCAAAAGACTGATAGCTGTTACTGGCTAAACAAATTATAATCCATCTCACTGACAGTACTTGTCTTCCTCTCGGAGCACATTTTCATCACACTTTTTACAGAAGTGACTATTCTTGAGAGGGCCTCACCTGTCAGAACTTCAACATCACACATTTTAAATGTACTGGCTCTTTTCGGCAACCTATCCTTCGACTTTAGTCTAAACAAGCTCTATCGGGTTGGCGTGTGAATGATATGCAAGGAGTCACAGAGAAGTGTGGCCGTATTCATCAATGATTTTGTCAGTGTGATACACCACTGTCTTATTTGTTTCCCTCACAAGTTGCAACAACTTTGCCTTCAAATATGTGTCTGTCAAGATTGACTTTTTCCTTAGTAAGCCATGTCCTAATTGGATCTTTTGTATTTGATGTAGCTGGTACTTTGTCTTCCTCTGATATGACATTATGATATGTGGCATTATCCATTACTAGGAATGAGTTTATCCAGAATGAGAAGATGATTCTTCAGCCAGTGCCTGAAAATCTGTCCATTCATTTCTGTGAGGTAGTTCTTACTAAGAGTACCATTTTTTTTCAAATAAGTCCAGCATCACGTAAAAGGCCTTTTCCCAATGTTTCTGCATAATTGAATATAATGAGCTACCTTTGCTTCTTGGAATTTTTTTTCTATTCACCATTTACTGCTTTAGCATATGTATGGTGAGCAGTGACCAAGGATTCATCCGATGAAACAACATCACAGCCCAGACTGTCCTTCATGGATCTGTCTGCCTCAGATATTTGCTTCGACTAGAATCAAATGGGGCCTTTCACACAAAAATGTCCCTTCCCACCTACAGTTTTCCTAAAGTGAACCCAGTGGCTCTAACAATTTTCCAGAGTAACTTTAGAAATGTCACTAATGCATTGTGACTTCAATATTAATTTCAGTTTACAGAGAGTAACAAGTTGATCTGTCTTTAACATTTTCAAGATCTCGTCATATGACATCGATGTCAAAGTCATCAACTTTCTTTTTCCCCGCCTTGCTTGACATAAGTGCACTATGTGTCCTTTCTATTTCAATGGTTAAACAATGCTCTGTCCAGACCAAGCACCAGATTTTTTTCATTTCTCAGGGTCATGAATATCACAATATCAATGACCCATCTTAGATTTTCTGCAGAAGTGTTGGTACAGTAAACCGGTAACGCACTGCAAAGTTATATAATTGCACCTCAAAATCATGAAATTTATGTCTATGTCCAGTTTGATTAGTGATTAGTGATTAGAAAAGATTATCATCACAGCACTCCGGACAGATCCATAGGTGCTCCAATCTCCTCAAAAGCTCCACAAGTGTAAAACAACCAATGACGCCTGTTCTGTGTTGGTTAATGAAATGTCTTGTCCCCTTAGTGAAATGTTCATTTCTTGCAGTTCCAGGCTGCACCCCCATGTCCATCAGTCTAGACAGGGATATGGAGTCATCTCCTTTGGCGTGCTCCTCGGTATGGTAAGTGCAGTGCATGGAATTGATAACATCACTTCTGTCCAGTACTGGACCAGCCATAGCAACTGCGTGTCAAGATAGCTTAGTGTTTCCTTGAACACCCACAATCACATTCTCGTGACTGATAAATCCAGCTTGGATAAATCCAGCTTGGATTTTTAAAATATATTCACCGAATCACTAAGAATGCATACGAGTGTGAACTTTTGAGTACCAAGCCATGTAAATGCCCTTGTTACAGCCATAGTTTCCATTGTAAGGCTACTAGTTGTAACAGCAAAGGCGCCATTCATATCCTTGAATGGTATTCCCCCTTGACCTTACTGTGAATGCCCATGCATTTCAATTACAATTGGTCTGTTAGTTTCCAAAATATTAAAGTCTATTCCTGTTCATGAATTTCTGACAGACTGTAACCATATTCCCTATGATAAGATAAAGGTAAATAAACAACTACATCTCCCATGATAACATATAAACAAACTAACTAACTACATCTCCCATGATAAGAAAACTAACTGACATCTCTTTTGAAAAGATATAAGTAAACTAACTAACTACATCTCCTTTGATAAGATATAAGTAAACTAACTAACTACATCTCCTTTGATAAGATATAAGTAAACTAACTACATCTCCTTTGATAAGATATAAGTAAACTAACTAACTACATCTGCTTTGATAAGATATAAGTAAACTAACTAACTACATCATCTTTTGATAAGATATAAGTAAACTAACTAACAACATCTCCCATAAGATATAGGTAAACTAACTAACAACATCTCCCGTAAGATATAAGTAAACTAACTAACAACATCTCCCATAAGATATAGGTAAACTAACTAACAACATCTCCCATAAGATATAGGTAAACTAACTAACAACATCTCCCATAAGATATAGGTAAACTAACTAACAACATCTCCCATAAGATATAAGTAAACTAACTAACAACATCTCCCATAAGATATAGGTAAACTAACTAACAACATCTCCCATAAGATATAGGTAAACTAACTAACAACATCTCCCGTAAGATATAAGTAAACTAACTAACAACATCTCCCATAAGATATAAGTAAACTAACTAACAACATCTCCCATAAGATATAAGTAAACTAACTAACAACATCTCCCATAAGATATAAGTAAACTAACTAACAACATCTCCCATAAGATATAAGTAAACTAACTAACAACATCTTCCAATAGGATATAAGAAAACTAACTAACAAAATCTCCTTTGATAAGATATAAGTAAACTAACTACATCTCCCAAAATAAGATATAAGTAAACTAACTAACAACATCCCCCCATGATAAGATACAAATAAATAAACTAATTAGCCACACTCCCATGATAAAATACAAGTAAATAAACTAACAAGCCACATCTCTCATGAGAAGATATAAGTAAAAAAACTGACTAGCCACATCTCCCATGAGAAGATACAAGTAAATAAACAAATTAGTCACATCTTCCCTGATAAGATTCAAGTAAATAAACCAACCAGCTACATCTTCCTGATAAGATATAAATAAATAACCTAGCTAGCCAAATCTCCCAGGAAAAGATACAAGAAAACAAAATAACTAGTCAAATCTCCCATTATAAATTATTTAACTAACTATCCAAATCTCTCTATAAAGTATTATAAACTAGCTATCGACATATCCTAATATTAAGTTATAAATTATTGTAAACTAGCTACATATACCTCTTATTATAAAGACACACATGTTTTAAAAAAATCTATCCTCAGGAGAAAAAGTCTAATACTAGACATATATAGGGAATCAGTTCAACAAGCCAGCCTACAGTGCCCAATAAGCCACTAAGTTGCTATACAAGACAAATCTTCTACCTCGCTGTAAGATTTACACCTAGTCTTACATCCAACACTAATCACAAAAAGGTCAAATAAAAAATGCATACCATAATAATACAAATGATAACATGGTTTCCAAAATCATAGTAATCACTTTCCTTGACTGTCCTTCCCTCTGTGAGTGCCTTTAAGTTTACCTATATACAGGATAAAAAGAAAAGTCATAAATGTCCATCTACAAATTATGTCTGCCAGCTTTTGTGCATGTTTTAGTCATGTTGGGGGTTGGGGGGGGGGGGGGGGGGGGGGGGTTAACGTTTTGGTTAGTGAGTACTGCAGTCGTTTAGCAGCTATACACTTACCTGATGATCATTAGGTCATGAGTTCAATTCTGACAGAGCCGGACATTTTTTCAAAATGACCTTTGCTCCCAGGTATATGCCTAATATGCCTGAAATTGCCCTGAACTTTTCAGTGAGTACATCAATTTGTGTCCATGAAATTTTGATCCATCTGTAATTAAAGTCTGTATACACTAATGTTTACTAATATGTTAACCCTTTCACCCTGCCACTGCTATAAACATGAATCATCAACTGGTGGGAATTTATGCAAAAAAATCCATTGCATTCACTAGCTGTAAAGTCCAGCAGAAAGTTCTGGTTGTTTGTCCATCTCCGGACACCAGACATTGCTCCAAAATCTGAGTGTTGTATGCACATCCTTTTACATATCTAGCTCATTTGTTTGCAGATTCTTGGTTCCTTGCCCCTCAGGCAGATGCAGTCTGACTTCAAAGGATGCTCCCAGTTAGTCGACTTCTATGACATGTTTTTTGGAGAGGCAGTGGGTCTATTCCTGTTTGCCCTACAATAAGGCCTTGGAACCCACATGCAGAGTTTGTTTATTTTCAACATCTCCGAAGCCATTATACGAGAATCATCATTATGTGCCCTGCCAACTGGCGTAGGAGCTCATGCGTCTCCACAGATCACGATCCCTGGTTGACTGGAACAGCTCTCTTGATGATATCCCTCCATGCCATAGTTTCAGCCCATCCAGCATCATCTCTCTTGGTCTGCCTCTACCCCTTTTCCCACTGATCTTTCCAGTTGTCACAATGTTATCTAATGTCTCTCTTCTCATTACGTGGCCAAAGAACAGTGTTTGTCTCTTTCTTATTGTTGTATATAGAGATCTACTTCCATTAGCCTCTTTCAAGCAATTGCTGTTAGTTGCTCTGGCCGTCCAAGGTATTCATAACATTCGTCTCAGAAACCACATCTCTGTTGCTTCCAAATTCTTCTTAATATGTTCAGTGACATTCCACGATTCGCTGCCATACAGCAGAACAGGTTCCATATAACATTTTAGCACCCTCTTTCTTTATGAGAATAATAAGTGAAAGTGAAAAACTTAAAAGTTACAACAGGAATAATAAAGTAATTAAAAGGACTCACGTATACACCAAGAGGTGTTATGAGTATAGGGTGTAAGACCCACACCTTAGGAGACCAATCAGCACCCGGTTGGTGATGTGGTCACCATCATGCCAGCCAGCTTAACTTCCCAGGACATGTTCCTGTACCCTGGGGATAGACTGGGTATAAAACTTCCCCACTGGACATTTAAACCTATGACCACTGGACTGACCAATAAGCATGCTAGCCAGAGAAAATAAGCTTTAGCTTGAATTTTTACGATGTTTGTAATATAAGCCTTATCTCAAATATAGGCCCTCACTGAGACTGTTGGCCAGACGAATGGATTTTGTTCATTCATTTAAATACATTAAGTATGTGCTGTATTATATATATGATAATTTAGGTTTAAATAAATAATATTTCCGACATTATTGTTTTACATGAATGATATTATTATTAATCAAGTATTTGTAAATACTCGGTCATACACTTATCGAAGAGAGGTTAACACAATTAAATATGCACGGCAAAAATTTGTAGCACTTGTGCAGTAGACTATTTTTGTTAACAGTGAATAAATGCATGTTTCTGTCCTTTAATAAATATATATTTGTGGGTGCTTTATTAATATCCTACCCCCAACAGGGGAAAATCTACCCCAAACAGGGGAAATCCACAGGTCACTGGACAGTCTAATATTTCAGGGGGTGGTAGATAGGCTGCATGCAGTCGTGGGACCTAAGCTGCCCTCTCTAATGGGACATAGGTGGGTTGCATTTAGGGCCAGTTCTAGATGTTTTGGGGTTGTTAAAAGCATCATGAAACCCAGTTTTATCACCCTCTAAAATGTTGGACTGCCCTGTGACATCATCTGGGGTAGTATATTAATAAAGAACCAATTTTTTACATGAAAAAGGAGAGATCCTCTAAAATTGAGCCCTTTGGGCTTTTAATAAAAGACCTGGTCTTATTTTCATGGAAAAAGGCAATCCGTTGTCTGGGAAATGAGTTGGAAGCAAGCTGCGCTGAGGGATCACTTACCCTGCTGATGAAATAAAATCCCCCAAAGACAATGTAGGGAGGATCAATGATGCAGGCAAGGTAATGAATAAATATTGCTGCACTGCTGTTGGAAATCATATCTATCAGAGACACAATCATGTACGGGATCAGTGAGATCTGAGGAGAAAAACAAGCATTCTGTGAAACAAGCATTCTGTGAGTCAATTGGAAACAGGACATGTATTGTGGATCATTAAATATACAGTTCATTGTCAACAATCAATCAGGTTTCAGTCAGAACAAATAATAATAAAATAAAAGCTGAGCTATAAGTAAGGATAATTTTAAATCAGTAATTTAAAAAAAGAAAAACGGAAGAACTGACTGGGATGTGGAATTTGAAGCTTGCAGGGAAGACATGCTTACAAACTGTTTAAAGCTACAACTCTAAATAACTAGTGAACTAAGAATCCCTTCCATCAAGAAATGACTCAGACTACAACTCGGAGTAGATTACTTCACTACAGCAGAACACACCTGTTCTGTATATCAGTAGTTTACTTTACTACAGCAGAACACACCTGTTCTGTATATCAGTAGCTTACTTCACTACAGCAGAACACACCTGTTCTGTATATCAGTAGATTACTTCACTACAGCAGAACACACCTGTTCTGTATATCAGTAGCTTACTTCACTACAGCAGAACACACCTGTTCTGTATTATCAGTAGATTACTTCACTACAGCAGACAACATCTGTTCTGTATATCAGTAGCTTACTTCACTACAGCAGAACACATCTGTTCTGTATATCAGTAGTTTACTTCACTACAGCAGAACACACCTGTTCTGTATATCAGTAGCTTACTTCACTACAGCAGAACACATCTGTTCTGTATATCAGTAGTTTACTTCACTACAGCAGAACACACCTGTTCTGTAAATCAGTAGCTTACTTCACTATAGCAGAACACACCTGTTCTGTATATCAGTAGATTACTTCACTACAGCAGAACACACCTGTTCTGAATATCAGTAGATTACTTCACTTCAGCAGAACACACCTGCTCTGAATATCAGATAAGTAATTATACTGAACAATATCTACTATAATGCAAGAAACTGAACTCAAAAAGACTCCACTTAATGAAAATATGACCCACTGAAATAAGCCTATGAAAACAGAAATCATGCTAGGAGAAGAGACGGCTCTAGAGAACTACAGCGAAGGACTAAACACTAAGTACATCACAAGAACAGAGGTTTGTATATGAGGTGTTAATACCACTCAAGATTGAATGATGGCATCCCAGATCACTTTAAATATGTACAAAGATGGACTACACAAAATAATTACTCTAACTGTTTGACAATAATGTTGCCACAACATTTTACTTGCTTCTTTTTTTTTTTAGTATGTCTCTCTAGAATCTTCTTCTTCTTTTGTTCGCTTGAAATAGATTATCTATATCTGCAATGTTGTCTTTAGTATGAACTTCACCACTGTCTGTTGTAATTCACTCAGCGACCCATAAAGTCCGGCTTGCACCGATATTTCTCTTGGCCAGAATCTAGAGAATCTCTCTATGTGATTGCTTTTGTTTTCATGCAGTACAATCTATTCTTCTTTACATGCGCATCTTCAGGACTTTGACTATCTAACTGCTTGCTCACTGTTGAGGTTTCTGCTTATACAGTAGGTCTGAGCATATCTAACACCACACACTTCACAGTTTTTACAAGCAGTGTATGAGAATATAGGTCAAGTAATCTTCATCTGATTAACTCTTTCAGATCTAAGTTACAAGTGATGTGTGACTTGCTCTTTCCCTTAAATCTCAGTCACTGAGGAATGTGTTTATTTAAATTTGATATGACGTCTGAGCACATTGAAGAAATCTGGCTTCCGCTGTATATTCTGCCACTTCAAAAGTAATGTACTGGAGACTGTTTTAAATGGTTGTTGCATAAGCTTCTAGGAGTGAAACAGTTAGCAGTCAGAACGCCGCTGTCCTCACTGCAGCAGAGGTTTCTTGGCACAGGTCTAATCAGCCACCTCCCCAACCTACTTAGTGATCAGCATATGACAAAGTGATCTATGTATGTTCCTTTCAGAAAGCCACTGGCTGCTGGATAAAGGAACTGGAACATGTGAAAAAGTCCAGAGTGCAGTGACTTTAATCTTTTATGTATCCATTCCTCCAGTATGATCCTCAATCTAAGTAAAAGACCAATTTCCACAATGTTTCTATGATAAAATAGCTGTAAAAGAACTACTTACCAAATTAAGCAGGATAGACAGATAAGAAGAACATGATTCTGACTTGTCAAATAAGAATGACAGAACTAAAGCCATGACAATATTAAAGGGCACATTTGTGATAAACAGTAGCGCCAATGCACCCAGTGCGCCGTCCGAGTCCAAGCCTTTAATCTGTGCAGAACAAAATACAAATAAATAAGTCTGGTTGCAGAATATAGCTGGTAAATCAAAACAAAATAATGAACAGATGTTAACTCTTTCAGCTCCAGACACTTGTTGCTAGTTGCTTCATTTTTTATTCCATAGTGTGTGTATTCTTCAGTAGCAAAGCTCAAGCCCTGAGACCTTAAAACAATACAACTATGAAATGATAAGAGTTAAAGTAACATCCAACACTGACTGTATTAAAAAACAGAAAAATTATCATAAGTTAACTCTTTCAGTCCCAGGAGAGTTAAGCATCAGAGGCCCAAGGGGTAGGTGAGAGAGACGTAAAATCGGTGCATCTTGCGTTTATTGGGCTTCTAGGTAGGAACCTAGAAATTTTGCTACTTTCCATGGGATTCAAAGAGTTCAGAAATGTATATAATGTGTAATCAATCAAGCTGTGGTGAGTTGACTTGCATTTAAAGAGTACAACACCAGTATTTCAATATGACAATTTGTGTGTATCATCAATTATTTACGCAATAACTGTTATTTAGCCATCTCGGCCCCAAACCACCCCTCCTATATTTACTGATTCATCATCATCATCATCGTTTAACCCTGCGTGAAGTTGGGTTACCAGCTGCTGTAGATTGATCGTGCCCTTCACCTTTGATGGTCAGATGTGATAGACTTTATGATTGTAAGCCTAAGGCCTGTCCAGCCAGTCAAGTTCTGTATCCAGGTCTTTCTTGGTCTGGCTCTTCTTCTCTTCTCCTCTGCTATCAATCATTTCAAATATTTAAGATCCATTTCAAATGGCCAAGTGTCCAGACCAGAAATCATGTATAGAATTGGCCAGACAACATCAGTCCTTGCCCAAACAGCAAATATTGTGGAAATGTAGAAAGACTTTATGTAAAACAAAGCTATGACTGCTCAGAATACTAGTTATTAGTTCGTTACAATATGGCTGTGAAACGTGGACCTTAACAGCTGAACTCTAAAAGAAGATACAAACATTGGGTATGTTTCTGCAAATTATACCTCACATTGACACCGCAAGGTACAAGGTGAGATGAGGTGAATGTTATACTGTGCTAGGAAAAGGCATGCCACTTCCAGTCCATGATGATGGTAAGTGTGACCTAGCAAGGCTCTCATGTGTCAAGAAAAGCCTTGCACAACTAGAGTATGAGATTTCAGAACTAATGTTGCCGTCAAATGTATTTGGTGGGCTTCTTCTCAGACACTAAGCTCTCATCCTTTCTGCAATCTTCTTCTTCTTCTTCGCGTTCACCAGCTGTACACTCTGGTGGAAAGTTCTGGTTGTTCGTCCACTTCTGAACTGCAGTCCTGCTCCAGAACCTAAGTGCTGCATGTGCATCAGTTGTACAGATCTGATTCACCTGAATGCAGACTGTTGGTTCCTTGCCTCTCAGGCAGATGCAATCCGACTTCAAAGGAAGCTCCCCAATTAGTCGACTCTTACAACATGCTTTTGGGTAGGCAGAGGGTCTATTCTTGTTTTCCCCACGATGGGGCCCCGGAACCCACACGGGGACTTTTCTGCAGTCATTCTTTTTTAAAAATTCTTTTTCATTTCTGATTTGTCCCCTCCACTTATTTTGTTCCCACAAATCTACCTCAAAACCTGTATCATTCATGTCTTGCTAGTACGCATCTTTATATTATAGTAGGGGCCGGTACTTATATCTTCGACCCATATGTATGATGTGTAGTGACATGCGAAATGAGCATACCAACAGATAATGACAAATGCTTACCTGTACTGCCAACACAACAAGGATGATGCTGACAACAGGAATCAAGTAAATCAACAAGTCACAGATGTAAATTGTTCCCCAGTAAAGGTTGAACGTCACTCCAGAAATACGCAGCTGACCTCGCAGCTTCAACTGTGAACACAAGAATATAACAATTTTTAATTATTCAAAAAGAAAATAAACAGTCTTACATAGGCATCCATCAATTCACAAAAAAAAAAAAAAATTAGTCAGGTAAGTCACAACAATTATTTTGAAAATAAAACTTCAAATGGCTGGAGATTATGATAATAAATATTAAAAAATATATTAAAAAGTACCACGGCACTAGATTTTGCAATTCATCTTCAGGGCATTGTGCTGTCCTGCTAACAGCATCTATCAGATACAATTTCCTCCTTGGTCCTAACAACTCCAGTGTGAAATAATTATCTGCTGCCACCTATTAATTTCAGTGTAAGATATATATCTATTCTGTTCTTCAGCATTCTGAGCCCTTGAGGTTTCACTGCTGCAGATAGCATCTGCCTCCATTCATCTCTGTTAGCCTTCTTTACAGTTAGTGACCCCAAGTATTTGTAAGTTGCCTGGATATTATCTCTCCACCATCTTCTTGGTCTGTCTCATTGTCTATGAACAATCAACTCCCTTATTTATAAAGTTTGTTTTTCCCTCTCCGTTGTCTGCCATTCCCCTATATCATCACGTAGCAGGTCCTTTGCAGAACGTCGCTCTCATCACAGTTTGCCTGAAAGAAACTCGGTCTCTTGCCAGTTCTCCCGCCTCATGAACTTTCACACTCAAGGAGTCACTTATATTCTGTGCCCATCTTCATTTCGGTCGGCCCCTGCCCCTCCTTCCTGGTACCATGCCTTCTGCTATAATTTTTTCCAATCCATCGTGGCGCTTGATATGACCAAAATATTTTAGCTTTCGAGAAAGGATGGTGTTTATTAGCCAATCTTCCTAGATGTCCAGATCTTTTAAGATGTCAATATTTCTCATCTTCTTTGTCCAAGATATTCTGAGAATCTTTCTATAGCATTTAAGCTCAAAATCCCCAATTCACTTTCTTAAGGACTGAAAGATAGTCCATGACTCACCTCACATCCGTATGTAGCCACAGGGAAGATGCATGCTCTCAAAATTCTAATTTTTATCTCCTTGCTGGTACTTAACCATAGACTTTTAAGGCTGTTCAATTCCCCTATATACCTAAGCCATTTCAGTCCATTAGCCCTTATGATGCCAGGGATCGATGGTGATTTCAACAGATTATGATTGTTGTCATTGCATCTCACACTTCATGCCCAGTAATTATCTATTGCTGTCTATTAATTTCTAAGTAAGATAATAATATTTTGCTGTATATTAATTTAAAAGTGAGTTTTGTATCTGTTTTGTTTTTTCAAAAGTAAGATAGCTTTCTGGCCTAACAATTTCCCAGTGATACTTATCTATTAGTTTCTACCAACTGTAAAGTTTTTAATCCATTTCCAAAAAGAGATAAATGTTTCTATATTTCTTACAATTTTCTATCTGGTTCTGTAAATTTCAGATCACGTTAATTATCTACTGGTGACTGTCAATGTCATTGGTGAGTTAATTATCTCTTCATATGTCTCAAAAAACAGAATCTCTGTTTTTTTTTTTTCTGTTAATTTTACTGAGAGAGAATTATCCTTCAGCTGGCTTTTAAAAATTAATGAGGCAGTTATTATGGAGGTAGAACTTCTTTAATTTCTTAAATCAGATACATAAAATTACCTCAGGGCCCAAATAGATTCAGGCAAACAAAATTACATCTAGGTCTTAACAAACATAAAATTACCTCAGGGTCCAAATAGCCTCAGGCAAACAAAATTACATCGAGGTCTTAACAAGCATAAAATTACCCTAGGGTCCAAATAGATTTAGGCAAACACAATTACATCCCGGTCTTAACAAACATGAAATTACCTCAGGGTCCAAATAGCTTCAGGCAAACAAAATTACACCCCGGTCTTAGCAAACATAAAATTACCTCAGGGTCCAAATAGCTTAAGTCAAACAAAATTACATACTGGTCTTAACAAACATAAAATTACCTCAGGGTCCAAATAGATTTAGGCAAACAAAATTACATCCTGGTCTTAACAAACATAAAATTACCTCAGGGTCCAAATAGCTGCAGGCAAACAAAATTACATCCTGGTCTTAACAAACATAAAATTACCTAAGGGTCCAAATAGCTTCAGGCAAACAAAATTACATCCTGGTCTTAACAAACATAAAATTACCTCAGGGCCTAAACAGCTTCAGGCAAACAAAACTACATCCTGGTCTTAAACACAAAATTACCTCAGGGTCCAAATAGCTTCAGGCAAACAAAATTGATCCTGGTCTTAACAAACATAAAATTACCTCAGGGTCCAAACAGCTTCAGGCAAACAAAATTACATCCCGGTCTTAAAAAACATAAAATTACCTCACGATCTTTAACAATTTCAGCAGAGATACCAGGGATAATGAGAATGAAGGCCAGTCCAACAAGCAAAGGAGACATCATCGATCCTGCATTGAAGGAAAGTTGCTCAGATAGGGCAGGCCAAGGTAGGCTACTCCCGTTGATGAAAACACTAAGGTTTAAACTGTTCAAAATGTTCTGGGTAGCCATGTTGATGATGACAGGGATAGAATGGACGGCACTGTCATTGTACAGTACAACAAAATCTGTTAGGTCCTGTAGAAACAGTAAACAATATGCTCTCAATGTACAGCACAATTGAGTCCCTATTGACTCTGTAAAAAAAAAAGTAAACAAAAATGTTGCCACTGTATAGCACAACAAAATGAGTTAGGTTCTATAGGAACAGTAAACAATATGTTCTAATTGTACAGCACAATGAAGTCTCTATGGGTTTTGTAGACACAGTAAACAATATGTTGCCACTGTACAGCGCCAAAAAGTCTGTTAGGATCTGCAGAAACATTAAACAATATGTACAGCACAATAAAGTCTCTTAGATTCTCTAGAAACATCATAATCATCCTCATCATCATGTAGCAGGTCCTTTGCAGAACATTGCTCTCATCACAGTCTGCCTGAAAGAAACTCTTGTCTCTCGCCAGCTCTCCCACTTCATGCACTTTTATATTCAAGGAGCCACTTATATCCTGTGTCCAACTTCCTGCTGGTCAGTTCCTGCACCTCATTCCTAGTACCATGTCTTCTGCTCTAGAAGCAGTAAATGGTATTATATCACTGTATAGAACAACGATATGTTATCACTGTACAGCACAATGATATGTTAACACTGTACAGCACAACGATATGTTAACACTGTATAGCACTATGATATGTTATCACTGTGCAGCTCAACAAAATGTTATCACTGTGCAGCAGAACGATATGTTATCACTGTACAGCAGAACGATGTGTTATCACTGTACAGCAGAACGATATGTTATTACTGTACAACACAACGATATGTTATCACTGTATAGCACAACAAAATGTTATCACTGTACAGCAAAACGATATGTTATCACTGTACAGCAGAACGATATGTTATCACTGTACAGCAGAACGATATGTTATCACTGTACAGCACAACAATATGTTAACACTGTACAGCACAACAATATGTTAACAATGTATAGCACTATGATATGTTATCACTGTGCAGCACAACAAAATGTTATCACTGTACAGCAGAACGATATATTATCACTGTACAGCAGAACGATATATTATCACTGTACAGCAGAACGATATGTTATCACTGTACAGCACAACAATATGTTAACACTGTACAGCACAACAATATGTTAACACTGTATAGCACTATGATATGTTATCACTGTGCAGCTCAACAAAATGTTATCACTGTGCAGCAGAACGATATGTTATCACTGTACAGCAGAACGATATGTTATCACTGTATAGCACAACAATATGTTAACACTGTATAGCACAACAAAATGTTATCACTGTACAGCAAAACGATATGTTATCACTGTACAGCAAAACGATATGTTATCACTGTACAGCAGAACGATATGTTATCACTGTACAGCACAACAATATGTTAACACTGTACAGCACAACAATATGTTAACACTGTATAGCACTATGATATGTTATCACTGTGCAGCACAACAAAATGTTATCACTGTACAGCAGAACGATATATTATCACTGTACAGCAGAACGATATGTTATTACTGTACAGCACAACAATATGTTATCACTGTACAGCACAACAATATGTTATCACTGTACAGCACAAGGATACGTTATCACTGTAGAGCACAACCATATGTTATCACTGTACAGCACAACAATATGTTATCACTGTACAGCACAACAATATGTTAACACTGTACAGTGCAAAAATATGTTAACACTGTACAGCTCAACAACATGTTAACACCGTATAGCACAACAATATGTTAACACTGTACAGCACAACAATATGTTATCACCGTACAGCACTACAATATGTTATCAGTGTACAGCACTACAATGTTATCACTGTACAGCACAACCATATGTTATCACTGTACATAACAACAATATGTTATCACTGTACAGCACAACAATGTTATCAATGTACACAACAACCATATGTTATCACTGTACAGCAAAACAATATGTTATCACTATACAGCACTACAATATGCTATCATTGTACAGCACAACAATATGTTATCACTGTACAGGGCAACAATATGTTATCAGTGTTCAGGGCAACAATATATTAACACAGTATAGCACAACAATATGTTAACACTGTACAGCACAACAATATGTTATCACCGAACAGCACTACAATATGTTATCACTGTACAGCACAACAATATGCTATCACTGTACAGCACTACAATATGCTATCACTGTATAGCACAACAATTTGTTATCACTGTATAGCACAACAATATGTTATCACTGTATAGCACAACCATATGTTATCACTGTATAGCACAACAATATGTTATCACTGTACAGCACAACAATATGTTAACACTGTACAGGGCAACAATATGTTAACACTGTACAGGGCAACAATATATTAGCACCATACAGCACAACAAAATGTTAACACTGTACAGCACAACAATTTGTTATCACCGTACAGCACTACAATATGTTATCAGTGTACAGCACAACAAAGTCTGCAGGAGTAAGCAAATGTCATTGCATAGAACAACAATGTCTGTATGGGTTCTGTAGAAACAGTAAACAATATATTATCACTGTACAATGCATAACAATTTGTTAACACTGTACAGCACTACAATATGTTAATACTGTACAGCACAACATTATGTTATCACCGTACAGCACAACAATATGTTAACACTGTTCAGCATCAATATGTTAACACTGTTCAGCACCACAAAGTGCTATCACTGTACAGCACAACAATATGTTAACACTGTACAGCACTACAATATGCTATCACTGTACAGCACAACCATATATTATCATTGTACAGCACAACAAAGTCTGCAGGAGTAAGCAAATGTCATTGCACAGAACAACAATGTCTGTATGGGTTCTGTAGAAACAGTAAACAATATGTTGTCACTTTACAGCTTGGCAAAGTCTGTTACATTCTGCAGAAACAGTAAACAGTATGTTTGTGACTGAAAACAGAAGCAATATTTGAAGCCTAGCAGATTAGAAAATTTAAAAAATTTTACCTGTTTAACAACACTGTTGATTTGAGCTCCAAGATAATGAGGTGCCACATCAGAAGTCTTCTTGGTGCCAGCTAAGTAGGTGTCAACAGCATAGTGTCTCTTCCAGTTAGAGATAACAGCCTGGGAGTCAGTGTTATCTGGGAAATTAATTTGACATGTGCACAAGTTTTACAACTTTCAGGGATTTGTTGTCCCTACAAGAAGATTGTTATACTGCATTGTTATAATGAGTTATTGTAATGTGCTGTTTTTATTATTTATTCAGTGTGCTGTTATAAGGTACTGTTATAACGATTTATTCAAATATACAGCTATCATGGACTGTTGTTATAGGTAGGTAGGTAGTTGCACCCCACCAGGACATCACAGAAGCAACAAACAACTGGTGATACTAAGTGCCATCATGCGGATGAGGGTCACCCATGGAGAGGTCCCAAAAACTCCTTTCAGTTGTTAGGCCATATTTATGGCTAGGCCATATCTATGCCCTGGCTATCAGTGTGGGGCTTCAAACGAAAATTGCAGCCCACAAGAGACATCTGTAGCAATAATGTGCACTGTTATAATGATTTTACCAAATGTACTGTTACAGAGTCCATTTTATATTGATGTGTTAATTGCAATTTTTTTTATACGAGGTCCGACAATTAAGTAATGAGCCTAATTCGATCAAAATTTTTTTAATCAACAGTTGAAGATTTAAACTGTATCTAACAAACACTGGAACGACCTCTGGAGTTCTGGCCCTTAAAGTCGATATTACAGCCGTTTGGATGTCATCAATATCGTCAAAGAAGCGCCCTTTCAATGGCAACTAGTTTTGGGAATAGAAAATAATCACAGGGACACAAATCTGGGTGAACAGGGTGGATAATTATGAAAACACACCTGTTTTGGGGCCAACAATTCCTGTACAACTACCGCCCTTTGAGCCTGTGCATTGTTATGAAAAAGAAAAAAAATTGCCAGGTGTTGAAGACAAACTGGCAAGCAACTTTTTTCTTGCCCAAATCTTCCACTAAAATTTTACAATAGTCTCTGTATTAACACCAAATTCATCTATCATCATCCTCACAGTCGAACAACTATCTTCTTGTATATGTTCTCGGAATTTTGCAACGAGTTTCTCATTATGAACAGAAATTGGGCGTCCAGGTCTAGTTGCATTAGTAATCATTTCCACACCACTTTTGAATCGAGAATACCAGCTGAAAATTTGTGCATGAGATAAACAATTATCCCCGTAAACTTGTTGCATCAATTGAACTGTCACAATGGCGCTTTTTCTGAGTTTTAAACAGAATTTAATGTCAGCTTTTTTTTGCTCCATGCTGATTACATAACAATGCACCTCTGACTAGGTTAACAAAATGGCGGCTTATTTGTTGTCTGCTTATCAGACAGCGATGAAAAGTTGCCAGATCATAAACGAAAGTTGCCTCTTTGGGTTCCATGCTGTGATTCATAGATGGCGTTTTTGTCTTAGCCATAAAAAAAATCAGTCTCATTACTTAATTATCAGACCTTGTATAAAGTAATAATTATCTGATAAAATGCATTTATCATGATTTGGTGAAACGTGTTGTTATAATGATTTGATCAAATGTACTACTATAATGATTTGTTCGAATGTGCTGTAATATTATTTTTTGGCCAAATGAACTGTTACGATCTACTGTTATAATGGTCTGGTCACATATACTGTTATGTTGGGATCCACAGCTGTGTAGTGGCTAGATGCTTGCTCAAAAGTCTTAAAATGAGACTGATACTTATTAAAAATTAACACGGAATCTCAGGTCAACCCAGCCCCTAATATTTTATTAACAAGTAAAGAAGATTCTTTACTGCATTATCAAAATGAGGCAAGGGTCGTAATTAGGATGTATGACTCCCCTGTACAATCATTTATTAAATGCTCCCTATTCACTCAGCTAAATTTCAGCATCACAATTGTCATACTATTTTAATACCAGAGTGCTAAACTAGTGTGGGTTTCATAATGATAGAAGCAATAAATATATATACATTCTCTAACTACTAATTATATCTAGCCACCTTCAAAATGTTGCTGCCCTCAAAACTATGTAGCCTTGTGCAGCTTATCTTGTTGCACATGCCTGAATATCCCCCTGCATGGGGCATATCGAGCTAGACCCATATGTTTATAGACAATTCAGAACCTTAAAGATTATGTATGCATTATTAGGGTTGTTGCTTGTTGTCCGTACTGACATCCTAGCATATCAGTGCAACCAATTCGTGCTCCCTTCTTTGATGGAGTAGCCATCTATTGTCACTATGTTTACTGTACCAGCAGCAGTTGTCTGGCACATCTTCCTTCTTTGCCCTGCAACCACTTTCTGCATGCTTGTCCTCACTTAATGCCAATTTCCAACAGGCAATTCATCATCTCTGACTCCTTGTTCTCAACGTCCCTGGAATGCAGTGCATTCATTATGTCTGCTCTGTCAATACTTCTCCCCCCACTAGCTAATGCAGACACAGCCAGTATGTCAGCTCTTTCATTCCTTTCACGCAGGTGCATCTTGATGTATACAGCCAAGATAGCTTTTTGAGCCCTGATTTCTCAGTGCTGTCCAACTATTCTAGAATAGTACAAAGGACATCACACAAGACGGCGGTGTGGCCACTGTCGTTTACCACAACAAACTGATTCTGTTTTGTTTTTTTAACTAACATGAAGGGATTTTCTGTAGTTTTGCTGTCTGATGGATCCTCTTAAGGGCAACAGACAAGATCAGTCTTGGCTGGGCAGAGACAGTACTTCAACAGGTGATTTCCCTTCAAGACATTCCTACTTCAAAATCATTGAAGTCTTTACACACCCACTGTGCAATGAGCTAAATACACATAAAAGGCCAGTTTTGGTTGGGCCAGGCAGAGATAGTACTAACTACTTCAACAGTTGATTTCCCTTTAAGACATAAATCATGGAGATGAATGGATACCCATACCAAATGAATACAAGCAGTACTGTGTGGTAGTTATCACCCTGACAAGACAGTGCTGTGATTTGGCACCGCCAATAGTTGATGCAGAGGAAAAAGCATTGGTGGAGAATCACACATCCCCGGAAGATGGTGTTATAAATATAGATGTTTCAGTGATTCATCAGAAGTGAAGTGCAAGGGCTTTCACAGCAAGAACAAAAGAGAAAGTCATCAAAGAAGACAGCAGAGCCTTTGCTTCTATTGCCAGCAGCATGATAATGGAGGTCATGGCTGTGACAAAGGCCCTAGAATGGCTGAAAACTCAGGAATTCATGATTGCATGTTTGCTTAGCCACTCAATAAACATGCTACAGTAGACTAAGGTATACATAGGAAACAGTGGCTCCATCTATTACACCACTCAGCTTTTCACAAAACCACCTTAACTCTTTGAGTCCCAAGGAACGCATCATACATCCATAGGTTCCTACCTAGAAGCCCAATGAACGCATGAAACGTTGATTTTATTACTCTGTTTACTACCCCCTGGGCCTGTGAATCTAAACCCCCTGGGACTCAAAGAGTTAATTTGTGTCCCATGTAATGATGGTGTGAAAGGCAATGAGAGAGCAGACACTCTGGCTGGCTGTGCGACTATCAGGAATGGGCCCTCTATGAGCAAGAGAAACATCATCAATGCTGTATGAGATAATTAACGCTGTAAGGCTTTCGTTTTCATGGAAAATTGATTTTTCACTAAATAGACTGCATACCCTGGGTGTATCGATTGGAGCTGCGAAAAAGGATAATCATACGGGAGCCACCTGTCATGACACCACCCAGAACAGAATGGGAGTTGTTAGCTAAAAACATTTAGAGACATACTCAGGACGAGATTGGAGCATTTATGGTCATATCCAATGTGCCATGATCTTTAAAATGAACAATCTAGGTGAAGTTTACTAGTTTAGATCTTCTCAAGCATGCTCACTGAGTCTGCCACTATCAATGCAGGAGTTGCTTTCTGTTGTGCTAGCCATGCAAGTGTTACTGTGACAGTTGCTATCTGAATTGTTATGTTAGAAGTAGTTGAACTGAAAGCCAGACTTTCTTCTTTTACTGTCTTCCTATTCACCTGGGCTGTTTATGGCCAACCATACTGTACCCCAAGAATCAATGAGCCATCTGTATAGATGATGATGATGTCACCTGGTCGAGTGTGCTCCGGGATGAGGGCCCTTATTTGAACATCAGTGACTGTTTGGCTCCTTTTTCTGCAATACCTACCCAGGCTGATTATCATCTCAATGTGCTCTTGCATTCTTTCTGGTTTTTTTTCTCCATTCATTATCATGGGGGTCACTTTACATTCCCGGATACTTCCTGGCACCTATTTAATCTGGTTCAATCTGGCAGCCAAGTTCAATTATATTCCAGGACCCCACTGTGTGGTGGGGGGGGGGGGGGGGGGGAACAGACCCACTGTGACATAAGAGTCGACTAATTTAGAGTTTCCTTCAACATTGGAGTGCATCTACCCTACAGCTAAGGAACCAGAGTGTGCACACAAATAAGCCCTATATGTAAAACAGATCTGCATGCAAAACTCAAGTTCTAGAACAAGATGAAAGTCCAGAAATGGATAAACAACCAGAACATTTCACCAGATGGTGAATACAAAGAAGAATAAGAATTACAAATTACCAAACTTGATGCACATCAGAACATAAAAATGGCATAAAATGAGTAGCAGGAAATAGTATGGAAAGCAAAGGTAGCTGGTGTGGTGCTAACCATATCATTCATTGCATGCCAGTAAGTTTACACAAATATGAAGTGGGCATCGATGCAAGTTGTGATAGTGAAGCGGTTAGCAAGCTTGCCTACCAGCCCGGTAGTCACAGGTATGAATGCATAACTGGGTAGATGTTTAGAATCTGAGGTCTCATTTCATGTTTTATTCTAAACTAGCTGTACCCGGCCACGTGTTGCTGTGGCATAGTTTGCTAAATGGAAAAGAAAGAAAATAGAAATTGCACGTGTCTAATATGGTTACTGTCGCAATCATTATCTGCTCAGATATAGATATAGTCTTCGATCCTCACCCCCCACCACCACCAAATCCACCTACTACTCTCTCCCTCATCAAAGGTTTTTTGGAAAAGAAAGACAATAGAAATTGCGCATGCCTTATATAGTTAATGTCTGCACAGATATAGAGATAGTCTGGTTTTCCGACTTCAGAACACGCACCATATAATTGTGTCTTTCTATTAGTGGTTGTTTAAATGGTGTTATTAGCACAGTAACAAAAATGGTTATTTGGTTATCACATGCTAAAGCTGTTTGTATTTTTATAGGAGACGGAAGCAAAGCTACTACTGTACTTGTAAAAAACAAAATAAGGCGTAAAAAAGTTAGAATAGTGGAGGTAGCGTTAGTAAAATATAAACAAATTAAGTAATGAGATCTTTAAAATCATTTGTTAAGCTCTTCAAGTTAACAATTTCAGTCATCACCCCCTCCCCTCCCCCCATCCACCGATCACTGCTCTCTCCCTCTTCAAAGGATTTGAAAATCATCACCTGGCGATATTTTTTTTTGGTAACTGACATTGACATCCCTGTCCATCTGGACTAAAATAGGGAGCAGGAATTGTAATAGGTAGTTAGTGGGGCTAGTGTAATATTTACCACGCCATCCTTCAAGTACAAGTACACCACGATCACCACCACAATAGCTAAAATAATGTCACTGCTATCTGTTTTACCATCGGAGTAGAAAGGGGGTCGTGAGCCAGAAGATTTGGCGCCGCATGGCTAGTGCTGTCGCCATGGACTGGTCAGGTTAGGATGTCTAATTTTGCTCCCCGACAGAAGAACGCCATAACCTTACCGGTGGTCTCCGGCATGACAGCATTATGATGTAACCCCCCAACCACAACTACTACTGCTGCTGCAACTTTGAGTGGGTAAGGCAGTTACTGTGACCTAAAGCTCTCTCAGTAAACACTTTGTGCCCCCCCCCCCCCCCCCCCAATTCACTGACTACTCTTTCCCTCATCGAAGTAGTTGGGAGAAAAAAAAAAACCAAGTGAAAAGCAACAAAAACAGGAAAAATACACCATAATTAGGAAATGAACGCTATGGTAAACAGCACAGCTTAAAATTTCAACGCAGATGAAATAATTAAATCTAAATGAAAATAAATGGAAATCTATAAAAATTCAGCATAACCATGCAATAGGAAAGTTTGAAATGAAATTATAAGTATGTGAAATGGTCAGATTTAATTATCAACTGGTTTACCCACATACCTGTACTTTTTTTTTTTAAGTATTAAGGGCTACATGGCTAGTGCTGTCGCCACGACAGTGCAGGTGAGGATTTTGTGTGTGCCCCCGGGTTAAAAAAAATTTTTTTTTTAAATGTGCTGCGGATTCGAATCCTGGTCTTTCACACGGGAGCCTAGTGTTCTAACCATTCGGCCAAGAAACCACTACATCGGAGCAACGAAAAGAGACAAAACTATTTGAGATGTGTGTCCCTACTACTGTGTCCCGATTATAACACAACTGAAAACCGCAGGCAATTGTTTTCTCAGAGACAGATATTCCAGATATATTATTGAAATGGCTCAACAATAGATATCGCACGTGTCTAACACGGTTAATGTCGCAATCATTGTCTGCGCAGAGGTCGAGATAGTCCTTGATGCCCCCCTCCCTCCCCTTCAAATCCATCAGCTAATCTCTAACTAATAGAAGGTTGTTTAAAAAGACAGAAAATATAAATCGTGTCTAATATGGTTATTGTCACAATCATTGCCTGCACAGATATAGAGATAGTCTTGTTTGCTGTACTACGGCCTACTCTATTTATTAGAGACGGCGTTGACTGTACGTATCTTGCCGGCGGATTGTGGAAGTCTTGAGTTCCGACTACTGCGCATTTGCATTTACGTACGTGGCTTTAATTATGTAATAAGTGGTGTTTATAATCTCGTTGTCTAGGTGGTGTTCATGCGTGTGTCGTAAATCTTCTCACACACTCCACGTTACATAACTGGTACAGGCCAACACATGTAAGCGTACGAGACATGAGTTTATTGGCATATTGACACTTTACAGAAGAGTCCTGTCGTTGTCCTAGTAAACAGCTCTCGCACACCAATTCACGCAGCCTTCAACGAGCAGGTTCTTCATGCATTCACTGACCAAAGTCGGCTCCCATTAATCAAGCTGAGGTTCTAGCCATTTCACAGACCGGCATGGTCGATTTTGGCTTCACACTTTGTCGTCAGGGTCTCCTTTCTCAACAATCACTCTTACGTTGACATTCTTCCACTCAGTCGCACATCCTCTCGCTCCAACAGGTCGACACAAACTAAACTTGACCAGAATCAAGTCTGGTCTGACTTATACCACGGGTTAGTTTCACGTGGCAACACGTGGTGGTCCTTTACTTTCACGTGGCGACCTTTAGTCGCATCATCGTGGTACCCGTGATAACTAGTGGTCATCACCTATTTCAAGATTTTCGTTTAATCCGAGTATCTGGAATATCTCGGTGTTTTAGGTCAGCTTTGGGCCTTCCCCCCAACCACCCTAATCTGGGTGAAAATATCCCCCATTACAAATTAAATGTCACTAAAATGAAAATATTAGTTTCGAACATTTTTCCAATAAATGTCGTCACCTATCTCAAACAATGATAGGCAGAATTTCAAACCATGATGGGTAAAAATCCGGTATCAAAACAAACATATCCTGAAAATTTCAGCTAAATCAGTTCAGTAGTTTCCGAGTCTATAGCTCATAAACAAACACACAAACATTGATTTTTGTATATGTAATACAAGATACATCAAAACAGACAAAATAGAATAGAAGCAAACAGACTGAAACAGAACAGAATAAATAGAAAAGATAGAATATAAAAAAAATAAAAAAAAACAGAGCTGGCAGAATAACACAAATTAACAGAAAGTAGATGGGGGCGGTTGGGGACAGAATCAATTAAAATCAATAGAGAAGAATGAAAATTAAGAAAGAAAAAAAAATAATTAAGAGAACAGAAAAGAGCAAGAGAGAATACAACAGAACACAGCATACTTACTGACAGCATCAAACACAAGAAATGATGGGGGTCTTTGGCCAGGAAATCCTGCAGGTCTGGTATACATAAGAGGATTGAAAAAGATCGGGTCTGTGGTCTGCACTACAGACTTTTCATATAATTTGGAAATGACCAAGCCAAAAATGACAAAGACTATAGGTAGCACAATTTGGAAAGCGACATATGCTTTGTCCCGCAATTTCAGTATATACCGAATCTGAAGATAAAATCACAGGATAATTAGAAAATGTATATAACAATGAACATAAGTATCACTTAGATAAATACAAGGTCCGACAATTAAGTAATGAGACTAATTCCATAAAGATTTTAAAAATCAACAGTTGAAGATATAATCTGTATTTTATTCAAAGTAAGCCCCTTGTGCATTGATACAGCAAGTGGCACTGCCTAACAAACACTGGAAAGGCCTCTGTAATGCTTCTGCTGTTATGGCTCTTAAAGTCGATGTTACGGCCTTTTGGATGTTATCAATATCGTTAAAGAGTAAAATCTTGTATCCGTTCTTTGACTTTTACAATGAGTTTATCATTATCATCATCATGCAGCAGGTCCTTTGCAGAACGTCGCTCTCATCACAGTCTGCCTGTAAGAAACTCGGTCTCTTGCCAGTTCTCCCGCCTCATGAACTTTCACACTCAAGGAGTCACCTATATCCTGTGCACATCTTCATGTCGGTCGGCCCCTGCCCCCTCCTTCCTGGTACCATGCCTTCTGCTATAATTTTTTCCAATCCATCGTGGCGCTTTATATGACCAAAATATTTCAGCTTTCGAGAAAGGATGCTGTTTATTAGCCAATCTTCCTTGATGTTCAGATCTTTTAAGATGTCAATATTTCTCATCTTCTGTGTCCAAGATATTCTGAGAATTTTTCTATAGCATTTCAGCTCAAAAGCCCCTATTCTCTTTCTTAAGGACTGAGAGATAGTCCATGACTCACATCCGTATGTAGCCACAGGGAAGATGCATGCTCTCAAAATTCTAATTTTTATCTCCTTGCTGGTGCTTAACCATAGACTTTTAAGGCTGTTCAATCTTTGCATTGCTATGGCCATCCTCTTTTTAATTTCTGTCCAACAGTCTCCATTATTTTTTATTATAGAGCCTAGATATTCAAAGTTTGTGACATTTTCAATTTCTTCATCATTTATTGTTATTTTTGGGTGATAGAGTTTATCATTACGAACAGAAATTTGGCGTCCAGGTGCATTAGTAATCATTTCCACACCACTTTTGAATCGTGAACACCACCTGAAAATGTATGCACGAGATAAACAATTATCCCCATAAACTTGTTGCATCAATTTAATTGTTTCAATGGCTATTTTTCTGAGTTTTTAAAAAGAAATTAATATTAGCTTTTTGCTCTGTGCTGATTAAGTAACAATACACCTCTGACTAGGTCAACAAAATGGCGGCTTGTTTGTTATCTGCTTGTTAGGCTGCGATGAAAAGTTGCCAGATCATAGATTAATGTTACCTCTTTAGATACCATGCTTCACAGATGGCATTTTTGTTTTGGCCATAATAAAATCAGTCTCATTACTTATTGTCAGACCTTGTATTGCTTAGAGATAAAATAATCATTTGTAATTTGAAATGCCATCATCATCATAGCACAAACTGATAGTAAAGTAAAAAATATTGTAGTTCTCTGTTTCTTCATCGCATTCAGCGGTTGTAAACTCCAGAGAAAAGTTCTAGTTGGTAATCCACTTCTGGACTTTCTTCATCGCATTCAGCGGTTGTAAACTCCAGAGAAAAGTTCTAGTTGGTCGTCCACTTCTGGACTTTCTTCATCGCATTCAGCGGTTGTAAACTCCAGAGAAAAGTTCTAGTTGGTCGTCCATTTCTGGACTTTAGTCTTCTTCCAGAACTTGAGGTTTGCATGTACAATCATTTACAGAGCTGGCTTATTTGTAAGTAAACTGTTGGCTCTTTGCTTTTCTGGGCAGATGCACTCCGCTTCGATTTACTTTTACAACATTTTGGAAAAGGGGGGGGGGGGAGTCTATTCTTTTTTTTTTTTTTTTTTTGCAGGCACCCACTCAATGCTGTTCAAATATGGTCATCTCCACATTGTTACCCTGTATTGGTTACTGTTGTGTAGATCTAAAGGTGTTTTGTCTGGTCAAGCATTACACACCCACTGACTGTTACAGGTGACGTGTCTACAAGGAAAGATGGGTAGCTGACTTACAGTTTACAACATGAACATGTTGCTCAAATGATGGGTCTCACCATTCAAGTTCAGATATGTGTTTCTGGAGATAACTGTAGTTCTAAAGAAATCAAATGTCTGGACTTCTATGTTTGTTTTCATTGCTGACGTCTTCTTCTTCTTATTATTATTCTTAGCGTTCTCTTGCTGTAAACTCCAGTGGAGAGTTCTGGCTGTTCATCCACTTCTGGACTTTGGTCTTGTTCCAGTAACTGACTTTTGTATGCACATCCATTTTTGAGATCTGGCTTATTCATATGCAGAATGCTGGTACCTTGACTCTCAGGCAGATGCACTCTGACTTCAAAGGAAACATCCCTAATTATTTGCCTTTCATGACCTCCTTATTAAGGGGTTAGTGGGTCTACTCTTTTTTTTATTTTCACCTCCAAAATGGAACCCTGAAACCACACAGGGACATAGCTGACTTACCTATTCCCAGTTAACTTGTCCTCCTCACCTTTAACCAACAATTCTTCCTTTATCCCTTCTGTCTCTATGTAACTAAAACTGTGATAGCTGACAATACCTGTCAGTCTGAATCCTCATTAAGGAAAAAACATGGATACCAACAATTGCAGCCTAGATGACCCATGCAGTGCTGATTGGTTTACAAACTTATATGGCTGGCATCATTTACCCAGTTTGTCTAAGACTTTTTCCTACCTACTTACTTTCATCAAAGTCCAGAATCTCTGCCTGGTTAAATCCCTTCCACGCACAGTGGATCTTCCAATAGAATTAGCATCTAAGATGGTAGGTTGGTCACCGATGATTCTATCATAGCTTGTAAAGAAATCTGGATTGACTGTTTCATCATTCTCTTCCTCAATATCCTCAGATTCTTTCGCTTCTGTTTTTATTTAAAGAAACAATTTTGAAAAACAGTAATAACTTTCAACCCACTGCAACTTAACTTGACAAATTTTGTTGTTGTATAATAAACATCAGAACAAGGCAGTAACTTTGTTGGCACATTATGAGAAAAGGAAAACTGGAACATGTGACATCTGGAAAGATTTATGGAATGAAAGAGAAGACAATAATGAGAACAGATTCTTGATAATCGTTAGTTGTGGCATGGAGAGGTAATGGCACAGCGACTGATTCATTACAATGGATAGCACAAGATATGGGGAAACATGATCATCCACATTAAATGGCATGACAGTGTTCTTTCTAAGAAGTGACTATATTAAACAGCATTAAGAGTGTTGAAAAGCAAAATGAAGGGTGTATCACCTCCTAACTAATTGTCTGGTAGTGCTAAATTAACGCAGTTCACATAGTCACATTGTACCACTAACTCCGTTAACAGTCAGCAGCCAACCACATCCACACACGGGAAGAGTCATCTATATAATCGTACATAAGTCTATTTATTTGGATGAAACACAGTATGACGATGAAAATGAACAGGTAATACAGGACGACTGTCCATCTAATGCTCCACCTATACACAATGATATGCTTCCATGGTGGCATCACATGAAAGAGAACACCTAGCCTCAACTTGACATGTCCACAACATATGCCTTAGGCCTTCTGGCCCACTCTTGTAGTCACCAGTAGCCTTAATGAACGCTTCGGTTATATGCCCACACTTTGGGTCACCAATAACCTATACATAATAAGCGGACGTGCCTCCGCCCAATCTGAACAACTGAGATACACTAACTAGACAAGCACAGTTTCTCTCCTGCTCAGTGTCCAGCCCCCGCATGGTCCTCGCTAAGCGCGTGCAAACCACTGTTAGTCGTGAATCTCCAGAAACTCCTCTTTCACAACTTTTTGCATAGCATGGCCCTTTTGCACTTGTATCTCACCTCAAGCCACATGGACTCTTTGCCCACATCTTTGTTACCATCATCTTCCAGTGCCGTTACGACTGGTGCAGGCGATCACGCCTCTGACCAGCACAGTGAATTCAGCATGCAACAAAGAGTATATAGCACAACATCAGCACACACAAAATGTAAGTAAATTTAGAGAACCCGCATCCTTACTGTGACAGATTTAGTTGTGAAACATGGATCGCTTCTCAATCAATAAAGAAAGAAATCCAGGCTGGGAGAGAAACAGTTTCACCTAGTTGGTTGGTGCTGTTAAACTGAGAGAAAGTTTCACCTAGTTGGTTGGTGCTGTTAAACTGAGAGAAACAGTTTCACCTAGTTGGTTGATGCTGTTAAACTGAGAGAAACAGTTTCACCTAGTTGGTTGGTGCTGTTAAACTGAGAGAAAGTTTCACCTAGTTGGTTGGTGCTGTTAAACTTAGAGAAACAGTTTCACCTAGTTGGTTGGTGCTGTTAAACTGAGAGAAACAGTTTCACCTAGTTGGTTGGTGCTGTTAAACTGAGAGAAACAGTTTTACTTGGTTGGTGCTGTCAAACTGAGAGAAACAGTTTCACCTAGTTGGTTGATGCTGTTAAACTGAGAGAAACAGTTTCACCTAGTTGGTTGATGCTGTTAAACTGAGAGAAACAGTTTTACTTGGTTGGTGCTGTCAAACTGAGAGAAACAGTTTCACCTAGTTGGTTGGTGCTGTTAAACTGAGAGAAACAGTTTCACCTAGTTGGTTGGTGCTGTTAAACTGAGAGATACAGTTTAGGGTTAAAATGGGAGATCGCTGTGATTATCTGAGAGTTGAGGGGAAAAAAAACAATTGAAGGATATGGAGGAGAACAATCTTTGCTAACATGAGGATTAAGTGATAACAACACATACACACATTCACCTGATTTATTCTAATATAACAACCAGACAGTCACATAAACACTCACCTAGCTTGAGAAATACTTCCTCCAAAGTTGTCATAGACACACCATAGCTCTTAATGCCATTTGATTCTGCCACCTTGTCCAGATTTTCAAACAAGTCTAGGGAAACAAATGGTTATGTCTATTTGTCTATTGCTGTACATGCTTGGTGAGTTAGTTGACAGGCTTACTGAAAACATGGTCATGGTTCAATCTCCTACTGTGAAGAAATATTTTAATGATTGGTAAAATACATGGATTACCCTGATAAAATGAATACAAAGAGTTCTTTGAGATCTGATGTTGAATATTGAATTAACAGTCGACATCACAGCACTTAGGACACTCCCATAAACGCTCTATCCCCATCTTCAGCAGCAAGCGAAGAGTTCCAATTCCAATGGTACCAGTAACTGTCTGATTGTACATCTTTCTCGCTTTTCCACGGACAGAAGTCCACTGTCCGTGGAGTCACCTTTATTTTTGTTCCGGGACACACAGGCGTCGATGGAAATGAAAGAGCTGACAGGTTGGCTGGATCCGCTATCACTACCGACGGTCAGCCTATGGATCATGCTGATATTATCAATGCCCTCAGAGAAATGGGAAGGATAGACGACTTTGGTGGCAGTGAATCCACATCACTCGCCAGAATGGCAGACTTGGGAATTAAGATCGGCACAGCAAAAAACGAGACGCACACCAGTTACGCCAGAAGACTTGTTAATCAACATAGAACTGGTACTATTAGCCATCGGACGTTGGGGTTCATACTGAGGGGAGGATCTGAGCACCTATAGACATGTCCGGAGTGCAATGAGGATAACCCAACTAACTAACTAACTAACTAACTAACTAATCTCGCTTTTCCCATGAGTGTTGAGCATCGACCACATCCCCTGATAGCTCCCCATTCTCCTCAAACCGTAAGGATCTATGTGTGCCTCCACACTGTTCACTCGCTGCCAAAGGGCCCTCACAACACCTAGCTTGTCATACATCAGTTCACCACCAACTGGTAGAGAATCAGCCAGTCTATCTGCCTGTTCATTTCTCCAACACACTAGCATACCCTAAAGATAATATCGAAAGGATGCTGTCTACCCAGGACCTCTGAAGCAATGCTTGACACTCTGCACGATATATGCCTGTTTCCACAGCAATGCTTAACACTCTGCACGGTATTTGCATGTTTCCACCTTTCTCAACAGACTTTGTGAATCAGTTACAATTACGACGTGTGTCTACAGCTGATTCTCAAGGCAGCTCTAAGGCAGTAAAAGCAGCCAACTGATCATAGCATCAAATGTAATTATTAAACTCTTTAAATTCACAACGACTTCTTTGATCAATTTTAACCCAATTTGTGCCAAGGATATACCTTTTGTAGTTATGCTAATACAGCTTTATATAAAACAAGCAATGCGACAAATAGGACACACAGAAACTAGATAAGAAGGGTCTCAGGCCCAGAAACGACATGGACAGAGTTTAGTCGCATCTGGTTGGCCATAATGCTGGCTTTGTCACTAATCCATACGACAGAAACACAAGTGAGAGAGATGTCTCACCGTATGGATCACGTTAGAGACTCAGTGCCAATAAAAATGTTTGTTCTTGGCCCTGCCCCTTTGGGAGGTATCAGTTTGCAATGAGTACAATGTTATGTTTGTCAAATGTGTCAGTCCTGCATACAGCTACAGATAAACAAAGTATTGGCAGTTGAGACTTTACAGTTAAACTGTTCTATGTGATGAGGTAGCCAGTTTCATGCCAATCTTCCTTAGTTATCTCTCTGTATTTGTGATCTTGTGTTTTTGTGTAGTATTGTCTTATTTGTGTATGTGCTGATAAAAGCTCCACAGCTGCAACGTTCATGCTTTCTTCGTGTCCGTCATATTGTGAAGCTCAATGATATACTTTTTGTTTGGGTTTATATCTTTTGTTGATATTAGTTATCTCTGATGACATATATGGTAACTATTCTTTGCCTACTTGATCATCATCCTCATAAACCACTTCTGCCGTTAAATGTCGTGGGGAAGAATAATTTGGGATCCAGTGCACGCTGGCTACCACTTGCTATTGTCATGCCAAAAAGGTTTAAGAGTCTTAAATGTTGTCGATTCCTATTTTTCGCGGTAGTCCTTTTGCTCCTGTAGCTGAACTTCTGAGATGTCGCGCCGGTGATGGCATTTGATCTTGCTGCATTCTAACGAGATGGCCAAACAACTTCATCTGTTGTCGATAAATCTAGTACAAGGTGTTGTTTGCACCATCTGATAGTATCATTATTCCCTCAACCTTGGATGGTTATGTTGACGGTTTTTCTCAGGCATCTCATCTTGCAAGTGGTGGTTTTGCGTTCATGGGCTTTAGAAAGTATCCACGTTTGGCACTGGTAACTTAATGTTGGAATAAATATGCTGTGTATAATCTGTCTCTTTGCACACAGTTATTATTGGATGTTCTAATTAATATTGGTCACAAATGGTGCACTTGCTTTCTGACAAGTGGTTTCTATTTCTATGTCAATTCTACCATCTTCCACGATCATACTTCCTAGATATTTAAATTCCTTGACTTGAGTCAGACCAGAAACATTCTGCTGTATATGTAGTGGGCCATGGGTTCTACTAACCCGCACTGTTTCAGTTTTGTTTGCAATGATCTTCATGTTGTATTTAATGCATGCTGAGTTTAACCTTTTAATGTGGTCTTGCAGTCTATCTTTCTCACTGTAGAACAAGCACTGGTCATCAGCCAACAGTAGTTCGCTTAATTGGGTGGGGGAGAGAGAGAGGTGAGCTGATTACTTCGTCTGATCAGCCACAGTAATACATAGACATACACTTTTGTATGTAACATATGACATATATTTTTGCAAAATAACCTTGTTTTCACAGAGTTTATTCTTTTATTTCACAATTTAAAAACCAGATGAGATCAGAAATGTCACTAGAAATATAGCGGACGGGGCAGAGAGCAGCAATGTTTTCTGACCCTAGCTGAAAGTGGTCATGGCTAAAATTGAATTTAATTGAATTCTTTTATTTGACATTAAAATATTTTTTATACAAACAACGTAAAAACGGACATGTTTGTATTCAAGGTTTAATAGATACAAGCCTGTAAATGTACATATCTGATCATAACTATGGACCAACCAGAAAACTTGGAGACATCTTGGAGAGGTACTGTGTAACTGATCTCCTTCCCATGTGACCTTGTGTGTTCCACATCTGGAATCACTGACCTGAGCAGACGTGTCACAACGTACACATCACAGTTAGGTTCTACTACCATCCTGTAGATTCAGACACTGCACATGTGAGAAACATAAACAGATATGTGTAGGTTTGTTATTAAATGTACTTTTCTGCAGAAGTGCCGTGGCAACCCAGAGCGTATGCCAGGGGTGCTGCGGCAGTAATCAAGAAAAGTCAACTAAACATTGTGAAATTTTTAAAGACGGCATGCAGATACTTAAGATTTATAATTTAAGTTATCTTCCCTCACCGCTGTTGAAAAGAGTTTATTGTTTCACACTCAGCCGTGTTTCATACTGCATAAAATGCCAATTGTTACGCTAAGAATTATCCTTGTATTTATCTCGAGGTGCGACCGATCTTCTACCTGAATTCATTAAGGTGTAGTCTATAAGTAAAGTTATGGTTACATTGTCTCAGCAGACACCTGCAAGCCTAAGCCATCCAAGCTGGTCTGCTTTAGTTTGCGGAAAGGCAACTAACGACCAAAAGAAAATCCGAGGAAAACTAAGAAAATTTTATCCTAGCTACCTTTTTTGTTTTGCTTTGTTTCGATAAGGGCAATGCGTTAACTGCCATAGAAATGTTGCTAACAGCTGCTTGGTTCCATCTAAATTACAGAGACATCTGGAATGCAATCATTCTGATTGAGTACATATAGGATAAGAAATAATCAAACTCCGCACTTTGCCTCTTCAGGCAGGGTCATCCATGATGGAGAGAAATTCTAAAAATGAAAAGGATATAATGCAAAATTCATCCAAACAGTTTAATTCATCGCATTAAAGACAAGTGAACATTAAATGTGCACTGTTTTCTTCTTCCTTCCCTAAGTATTCAACCGCTTTAAAGGTAGGTGTGCGCCAACTTTGTTTAGCCCGACAGGGTGCAGCGGTGAAAATTGTTTGCAGCATAGAGAGTAGATCGATGTCCACCTCTGACTTATGCATACTAGGTTCCAATTTATGGTATCAGCTGTGCAGATTTTTACAAATAATAACAATTGTTTACTCTTGGAATGAGTCGTGGCTTACAACGTCACTCGAAATGTACCTTAGCTCTCGACGTATCTGCTTTGCCACAATTCAGCTTTATATGATTACTGCAGCATAACTTGCACTGCTCTAACGTCTAGGATTAATGACTTAAACAACGCTCAGCTTCCTTGTACATGCTATCAGTTTATTCCGTTACATTTATTCGACATGCTCCAACGATTATTCACACTTCCATCGCTTGCAACATATTCAAACACTGGTCATTCGCACGACATAAGAACTACATCTTCTATTAACACAACCGTCTTCTGCCCATGTCTACTCAACTGGCCCCAAGACTTTCGTGTGGTTGTTTGTCGCACGGATTTTCCACTTTGCTCTCTGTGTGCATGGAGACCATGCAAAGCAGGGTCATCACATCCTTTCACTTCTTCTCTTCTTAGGGACATGAAATAGACATCTAGCCTTGTCAGATAGTCCCTGTCTGTTTTATGATAATCATTTTGCTTTTCAGATGGTCTACTACTGAATACATATACTGACAATGCGCTGCACTTTACTGTGACTACTGCTAGTTTATTTCCTACTTCTTGTATCTTCTTCTTAGCATTCACCAGATGTAAAACTGGAAGAAAGTTCAGGCTGTTCGTCCAGTTTGGAACTTTGGTCTTGATCCAGAATTTAAGATTGCATGCACATTCATTTTACAGGTTTGGCTTATTTGTACATATTCTGTTGGCTCCTTACCTATCAGGCAGGCACACTCCGACTACTTTAAAGGAAGCACCTCTAATTGGTCCCCACCCCCTAATAAAAACATGCTTATTAGGGGACAGTGGGTCTATTCTTTGTTCTCCAGAACTGACAGGAGCAGGTCATTTCCTGAGACTGGATTTGATGCCGAACATGTTCCTGGTATTAGCAATTGTTATTTCAGTTATGAATTACATCTACTTACGTCAAATGATAACCCACACCAAATTTATTTTTCAAAAACAGCGATGATCCACAGCAGCGCAGCTTGCCTCTTCTGATGAACGCCTTTCTGTCTGTATTGAACAGATAAAAATATAAATTATCATTATTCCAATTACAGATGTTTTTTTATATCTTTTTATGGAAGAGTTTGAGGGAAGTGAAAAGGAGATTTCTGAGACAAAGGTTGCTATTAACTTGCACTGACAATCAATTAAATGCATTTGAAAACAAATGCCTGGGGAAAATGAATTCAACAGGGACGAAGAAAAAAGGAGAAAGGACTGAGCAACCACGGGTAACAACTGTTATATGACAAAGAAGGCGACATTATACTGGGCATATTCTGAGGAAAAAACGGATAGAAAATTACAAAAGAGGCAATGAAATAGGAAAAAAAAATAAACTGGGAAGCAAGCACATCCCCCCCCCCCCCACCCCAAAAAAAAAATGAACAGTGATCAGAAAGACCAATGGTACTGGACTGGATTCAATCCATGGTATCGGATGGATTACACAGGATAGAAAAGAATGGAGGAACAGACTGCGAGCCCTAAACGACATATAATGACACAGCAGGACAATAACAATGATGATGAACTTCCACTGATTATAAAAAACTATCAAGGATTTTCTGATAGAGAATAATGAAAGCATTATATAAAACTGCAGTAAAGAGACCATGTGCAACCAGCAGCTCTAAGGGAAGGCAATAATAACTACACTGTAACCGATAATGCAAGTGGCTGGTGGGAAACTAGATACCTCATCTTGTAGAAAACTTTATATTTGTTTTTCTGTGTTTGTCCTTAAAAGGTCAGTTGAACAAGTTGTGATTTACAGCTAGGTTGCAATATTTTCACCTCCTGACTTAACACATATGATTTCAACAAACCTTTAATCAATCACCTTTTAAGACATGCTTATTTCTTTTAAAATAGGGCCCCAGAAAACACAGGGGGAGCTTTACCTCCAAAATGCAACCACCAATGAACAAGTCTACAAATGTTTTGGCTCACTGGTTGAGAGCCTATGTTCCCCAGGGAAATTAAAGAAGAAAAAGAAAATGATCAGAAGGAAACAGTGTTCACTGATCAAATAAACAAGAGTTCCTATTCCATTAAGCAAGTCACCTGATGATGATGATGATGATAATCTTCAAACTTTGCTGTAAAACAGAAATACCATCATTGTCTCCATTCAATGAAAGGAAACTGCCTTTTTCATCTCCTAATTGCTAGATAACATTACGACCTTGTACCACACTTCCCAAAGAGTATTATTACTACATCCTGTTACTAGTACCCTACATTTGACACCAACAACATCTGATCACAGCTAAACCAAATACCTGCAAGGATGTCAGCCTCGTCCATAAAATGAGTGGTCAGTAGAACCAGCCTGCCCTCCTTCATTCTCTTCAACAGTGACCACAAGAGGCGACGTGAGAACGGGTCCATGCCAGCAGTGGGTTCATCCAGAAAAATAAACTAGCAACAACAAAGAACACAAACACTGTCAATTTAAATATGATTTCTATTTTTATTCATTTATTGGCTTTATCTACTGAGTTTAAATGTTATGGAAAATACATACAATGAATGAGAATGAGAATGAGAAAGAGAGAGAGAGAATGAGAGAGAGAGAGAGAGAGAGAGAGAGAGAGAGAGAGAGAGAGAGAGAGAGAGAGAGAGAGAGAGAGAGAGAGAGAGAGAGAGAGAGAGAGAGAGAGAGAGAGAGAGAGAGAGAGAGAGAGAGAGAGAGAGAGAGAGAGAGAGAGAGAGAGAGAGAGAGAGAGAGAGAGAGAGAGAGAGAGAGAGAGAGAGAGAGAGAGAGAGAGAGAGAGAGAGAGAGAGAGAGAGAGAGAGAGAGAGAGAGAGAGAGAGAGAGGAGAGAGAGAGAGAGAGAGAGAGAGAGAGAGAGAGAGAGAGAGAGAGAGAGGAGGAGGGACAAAAAGTAGGTTTATTAAAGAATAAAATAATCAGCTTCTAAATGGTGTACAGGTATTTGTGTGTGTGTGTGTATGTGATGTTTCTGTGTACATATGTGTGTAATATGCTCATATGTGCCTGTGTTCATTTTTTTTAAATAACTTTTTTAATTAAAAAAAATGAAGGGGTGAAAAAAAATCCCATGAGCAAATAATATGATGACCTTGACTCAACAATGATACAAGCCTGCTGTAAGTTACCTTAGGATCCCCGATCAGAGCTATGGCAACAGAAAGCTTCCTTTTCTGGCCACCACTGAGGTTTTTAGCAAAGGTTTCACTCTGACTCTTCAGATCCACATCTGCCAGGGCTTGCTGCACCTGAGAATGGAATCAAGCTTTAGATAGCAACAACATGTCAATCATAGAGTAGAGCACAGTCATGAAACGTAACATTAGATAGCAACAAGTTATCACCTATTAAATACAGCACAGTCATGGAACGTAATATTAGATAGCAACAAGTAATCACCTATTAAATACAGCACAGTCATGAAGCATAACATTAGATAGCAACAAGTTATCACCTATTAAATACAGCACAGTCACGGAATGTAACATTAGATAGCAACAAGTAATCACCTATTAAATACAGCACAGACATGGAACGTAACATTAGATAGCAACAAGTTATCACCTATTAAATACAGCACAGACATGGAACGTAACATTAGATAGCAACAAGTTATCACCTATTAAATACAGCATAGTCATGGAACATAACATTAGATAGCAAAAAGTTATCACCTATTAAATACAGCAGAGTCATGAAATGTAACATTAGATAGCAACAAGTTATCACCTATTAAATACAGCACAGTCATGAAACGTAACATTAGATAGCAACAAGTAATCACCTATTAAATACAGCACAGTCATGGAGCGTAACATTAGATAGCAACAAATTATCACCTATAAATACAGCACAGTCATGGAGCGTAACATTAGATAGCAACAAGTTATCACCTATTAAATACAGCACAGTCATGGAGCGTAACATTAGATAGCAACAAGTTATCACCTATTAAATACAGCACAGTCATGGAGCGTAACATTAGATAGCAACAAGTAATAACCTATTAAATACAGCACAGTCATGGAGCGTAACATTAGATAGCAACAAGTTATCACCTATTAAATACAGCACAGTCATGGAGCGTAACATAAGATAGCAACAAGTTATCACCTATTAAATACAGCACAGTCATGAAACGTAACATTGGATAGTAACAAGTTATCACCTATTAAATACAGCACAGCCATGGAACGTAACATTAGATTAGCAACACACTGTCAATCACAGAGCAGTGTATAATCATAGCATCGAAAATCAGACAGCAATAGACTATCAATAACAGAACAAACACAACAGTGGAACTAAACATTAGGTAGAATGTTCCATCAATCATAGAAAAAAGCAAACAATAAAACTAAATATTAGAATTACTGTTAATCATAGAATAAGTACAATCTTCCCACCAACAATAAGCCTAATCCCTCACACACATAACGCCCCCCCCCCTCCCCCCCAACGCTTAAACACATACACACACAAAATAAAAAAAACATGAATGTAAACTTGAGGGAAAGACTGAGGCAAGAATGTGAAGTGATGAACTGTCACTATATTCCACTCACAGAAGCATTATTGAGAAGAGTAGCAACACCATATTCTATTTCAACATGTACTGATGAGACGCGAAAGGACATTTCATCCCATTTACAGATGCATTAACTCATTCAGTACCAAGCAACTCACCGTGCATTTGTTGGTTTCAGCTGACATGGTCTACTTCTGTTGACCCATTGTGACCCATCCACTTGTTACACTTACCTTCTCTATCCCAGTTCTTGCTTCAACTTATCCTGTTCTACAATGCTATAACTGTCACTCCTCAAACCCAACTTTGATTATATATCTAAATTAATAAATTCTCAGGATAGAAAGTGTTAATATAACACATTCTTGGTACCGAAATAGTTAAGGAGTTGAGGGGGTGCATCATATTCTATTTACTGACACATTAATGAGATGAGAAAGAATGAAATATTTTACTTACAGGTACATTAATGAGTTAAGGTAGGACATTATATTTCACTCACTGTTGCATTAATAAGAGGAGGAGGGACACCTTTGATGTTAGCAAACATCTCAAGATGTTCTCTGCAGGACAAATCATCAAAGAGAATATTGTGCTGCGGACAAATGCCACACCTTTTGCGGATCTGCTCCAAGTCACCCGTTTGTGTGATGTCCTGCAGGAATCAATAGCAAACAAGAACAATCAAGCAATAGTAAGGACAATTTTATGTATTTGTTTGAGAAAGTCTTCTTTCACATAGACAAAAATGTTTATTTTGTACCTCACAAAGGTGAAACTGACATACTAAATATGTCATGCATTCTTTTTCCTGAGGCACACATCATAATCTTCTCAGTGAGTTATAGCATGCGCAATGACATGATCCAATGTGCAACAGGTATAATGCCTATTTGACTGGCTAAAGAAGAACATGTAAGTAAAAGGTGTGAGTAACATGGGTCATGGAGAACATATCAACCACATGGGACAATCGCCTAATCAAACAGTGGGATCTCAAGTATTAACGTACCAACATTAGAGCACTTTGTAATGGCAGGGTCTCATTATCAATCACAGAGCCACTTGATAAGTGTGGAGGACTTGATCTACGTTTGGGGCAAAGATAAAATCCTAACTTGCACAGTCGGTGGCTACAGCACTAGCCATTCGGCCTTAAATCATCAGGCTCAAAGACCCCCCTGACTACACAGCAACAGTGGCAAATACAGGCACTTATGGCAGTTATATATTTGGTTTGTTATTATTATTTTTTTCGCCTCAGCACCAGCAGATACGTTCAACTTGTTCAAGCCCAACAAGATAGAAATGACTGAGAAGAAGGTATGATCAGATCATGACATGGAACAGATATGGTTATGAGAAATAAATATTTCAAACTGCTGGGTCAGAAAGAGTTGGTTACTTTCATGGCTGCCGGCACTGGAGGAGCTGGCTGTTAACACCTCGGAAAACCCAGTTTTAGATCTCAACGGCAAGTCATTAGAGTTTGGGGTTCTGTCCGATGTTTAAATATATTTTAATAAATGTACTGGTGTTCTGAACATTCAAAAAAAAAATATATCAAAGTTGTTTGGTTTGGTGTTTAAAACATTTATTTCTTAATTTTGGGCTATTAACTAGGGGTCGTATCATGGAATCGGGAGGGGGGGGGGGGGGGGGGGGGGGGGGGGGGGGGGGGGGGGGGGGGGGGGGGGGGGGGGGGGGTGGGTGGGGTGGGGGGGGGGGGGGGGGGGGGGGGGGGGGGGGGGGGGGGGGGGTGGGGGGGGGGGGGGGGGGGGGGGGGGGTGCGGGGGGGGAGGCGGGGGGCAGGGGGGGGGGGGGGGGAGGGGGGGGGGGGGGGGGGGGGGGGGGGGGGGGGGGGGGGGGGGGGGGGGGGGGGGGGGGGGGGGGGGGGGGGGGGGGGGGGGGAGGGGCTTTGTGCATGAAAACAATATGATTAACTAAAAAAGTATGGAATACTGCTTGGTACACAATGAACTGATATGGGTTTTTTCGTTAAACGAAAATAGTTTCTACTACAAAAAAATTTTTCAAAGAAGTGAGAAACCTGAACAGATTTGAGACAATATATGTATTGAAAAAAAAATTATCAATGTGTCCACTCTTACCAATATAATGAGAAGAGAGACATTGGAGAACATCATGACAACTGGAAAGATCAGTTGAAAAAGAGGTAGAGGCAGACCAAGAGAGATGATGCTGGATGGGCTGAAATGATGGCATGGAGGGATATCATCAAGAGAGCTGTTACAGACAAACAGGGATTGTTTTTTGTGGAGACGCATGAGTATCTACGCCAGTTGGCAGGGCACATTATGATGATGATGATGATGACTCTTACCAAGCCCAAGATGTGTGCACTGCCAGACGTTGGGGCAATTACTCCAGTTAACATATTTATCAAGGTTGTCTTGCCTGCTCCGTTATGTCCCAACAGACAAGTGATCTGGCCTTCATAAATATCCAGACAGAATCCTGAGAAGGAAATAAACTCCAGATGACCCACAGACAAAATAAAATAGTCACTGAAGTGTTGCATAGTTGTGATGAAACAGCTGTTCATAATTGTTTTTAAATATGAGTTTCTTATTCTTCTTCTTTCTTATTTTTCATCAGCTTTAAATGCTGGCCAAAAGCTCGGATTGTTTGTCCACTTCTGGATTTTAGTCTTGTTCCAATTTGAGTTTGTGTGCACATTTGTTTGATTTGTATGCCGACTGTTGGTTCCTCGCCTCTCATGCAGATGCACTCCATCTTCAAAGGAAACAACCCTAATTAGTGGACTCTTAAGACATGTTTGCTGGGGTGACAGTGGGTCTATTCTTTGTTTCCCCGGAACTAACACAGAGATAAAGATGTGTTTAAAACCGATCTAACATCCTCATCAATTGTGCCAAAAAAAAGGAATGAGGTTGTAGCTGAGATAAGTCTGTATTCTCTCCCACTTACGTCATGTACTCTAGTCATCAAGATATTCATCTTTGTCTTTCCTTTTCTCTTTTTCCATTATGATTTCCATTTGAAGTTGTCTTCATCTCTCAACATGCTGAAAAACCTTTACTGTTTATGTCCCTTTCTTATCAGTTTACACTTTTCAACTACTTGGAATACTGCCTCAATTTTTGTGTCCATCCATAGTCTCTTTGTATTCTCCCGTAAAACAACTAATCCGCTGCCATTAACCTTTTGGAGATGGAGCCTTTTTAGAGTTTTGGTGCCAAGAAGAGGAAGCATTCAGGAGAGGATTCTCATAGTGTATACATTTAAAAAAATCATACAAAATAAAGCCTTCAAATAACATATACAAAACTAAACATATTTATGTAGGAAATTAAATGAACTAACATAATATTTATGAATCAAACTTAAATCTCAACTGTTATTCAAATTAACTATTCTGCTTTGCATAATGTATGCAAAAAAAAAATTTTCAACTTGGGAACAAACATAACTAACCTGAACATTTTGGGTGAATCTTTTTATGGATGAAGCTTGAATAAGTCCTAACACCTGTATTTTGGGAAGTAAGGCCCTTGGAGGCCCTACAGACACATCTAGCACATGGTTCTACTAATTTTCCTGCCTCCCACTATGTTTTGGTTGCTATGACATAACAGTCTTTTTCGCCATTTTTGGGCACAGGTAACCCTCCCAAAAAAAAAATAGACGTAAAATTACAGAACATATCAAACTTTCTCGAAAGCTGTCAATGAACAGCCCACATGTGCAAGAAATGCTAGAAGCACTCTGATTGGCTGGTATGAAAACCTGCCAGCCAATATCAAGGCTTCTATTATATAAGGCCAATCGATCGACCCAGTCGTCCTTTTGGCTACTTTGTATTGGGTCGATATTTCAGCCGCGTCGTCTCCAAAAGGTTAATGTTCTCTGCTTGTCTGCTTATTGTCTACATTTCCCATCTTACAACAGGCAGGTTCAACACAGAAACTAAAATCCTTGTTTTTCACTGCAAACGGTATCTTTGTATCGGTGAGTACGTTCTTCACTTTGCAAAAGACAGTCTTTGCCAATTGAGTTGTTGTATGAATCTCTACTAAGCTTGTGTCAGGTGACTGCTAATACATTGTTGTAATGGTTTCCCTGTTTCATAATTTTCTCATTCACTTATATGCCCATGCCATATCGAACTGATTTATCAGATTATTTCACCAATTTTTGTTCTGGTAATTAAAAGTGACTAAATACAAAGAAAAGACCATTTAACAGAAGTCAGATCAATAATTTACTTAGACACACTTTATAGAAAAATAGAATGGATTTTAAAAAGAGAAAATTGTACTCAATAACACAGAACGCTGAAGCCCCTCTGGTATGTCTCCATTGTTCTACTGACCCTAAGAGAGCTAGCTATTCAGGCACTAGTGTACCTACTGGTAGTTTCCCATGCTAGACAGGTCCACAGAAATAAAATGAACAAATACTTGTTCAAAATCAAGTGTAATGAGCAAGGATTTGGTGAAACAGTGCGGCACACTTTGCCTCATATGGCATGGGACATAAAACATTGACCTATATGTCACAGTCAGAGGCAGATGAGACCTATCTAACTAAAATCTACAATGAAGCTTAAATTGTGTTTTTAAAATGAGACAGATACATACCATCCACCGCCTTGTAAATTTCGCCATCCTGTTTGAAAGATTTCGTCAATGATGAGATTCTGAGGATTAATATTTTTTTTTTTACAAATTTATGTTATGATAATTAAAACATTAGCCGAATTTAGTTAACTTAGTGATAGAAAACTGAAGAATGACCCGTGCATTTTTAACTGCAACTAAAATTGAATAGTTTTCATTTGTACACTCAAGACACTTTTATTCATCAGATCAGTTGCCACCTTTTAACTAGAAGCTGGCTGTAAGATATTTACAGCATATTTTTTTTCTAGCTAATATATTGCAGTCTGGCATATTCTTTCCTGTAGCCTCTAAAAATTATCTTCCCACTTGAATCATTTCTTTTTCTCTTGAATATTTTCTATTTCACCCGTTCTCCCATTCATTTCAGTTAACATTTTGTAGCTGATATGGGTAAACAATTATCTTTGTGAACTCATTTTTGTCAAGACATCTTCAATAGTTTGTGCTCTAGACAGAAAAATGAGGAGTCATCACTCATAGCTAGTTCAGACCAGTCACGTGATGGAAGATGTATGCCCAGTCACTTACCTCATGGCAACTTTATCCTGCATGTCTCGGCCAACAGGCTCCACATCTATGGTCTGCGACAGGCTATGTGTTGGGCTCACAAGCTGAGAGGTTTCCATATCAGCTTGTCTAGGACACCAATATGATGACTGCAGGAAGTAGAGTGGCTTTTTCTTGACTCCAAATTCCCCTGCCAGTAAGACAATTATTAGTATTTGATAGGATTTTAAAAGAAAAAAGTTCAAGAAATGAATGACTCAAATTCTAGTTGTTATATTTATGACTCACTATTCCTCAGATTCTGAAAAGCTGAAAACGTGAAAGAACTAGTTTTATGCCATTAAGTAATTGGAAGACATGTTGCCAGGTACATATTTACTCATCCCTTACCTGTCATCTTGGTATTTTGCTGCTGTCATATTCTTTTCTCCTGTCTTCCATCTCCCACTGGAATACAGGCTGTAAACCTATTTTTTGTTCATGATTGGCTGGATTTACCAAACTGTATTCTGCAGAATAACGTAGCAAGCCTATATTTTTTTTCCAACTTCTTGTGCTTTCTCAATATCCTACCCCAAACAGGGAAAATCCACAGGTAACAGAACAGTCTAATATTTCAGGGGGTGGTAGATACGCTGCATGCAGTCATGGGACCAAGGCTGCACTCTCTCGTGAGATGTAGGTGGGTTGTGGTTAGGGCCAGTTCTGTATATTTTGGTGTCGTTAAAAGCATCAGAAAGCTGGGAAACCCAGTCTTCCCACCCTATAAAATGTTAGACTGTCCTAGGACGTCATCCAGGTATTTTGGGTATACGATATTCTACCAATCAGACGACTTGGAGGCGTCTGCATCTGTCCAATCAGACGGCTTGGCGGCGTTTACCTCTAACCAATCAGACGACGTGGCACAGACGTTTTCTGGAAAGGCAGGGAGCTTGGTGGTGACGGCAACGTGTGTTCCTGACCGAGTGTCGGCAGTGTTGTGAGTATTACACATTATTCCTAGAATCGCCTACTACTAACAATGCCAAGATATAAGAAGGCAGCTAGGAGCCATGATTTTTACGCTTCAAGAAGAAGTAAAGAAAAGGAACAGACCAAGAAGAACGTGGATACTGTGAAGAATAATCTTGACTTTGCAGAAGCTAACATCAGAGAGAGGGAAGATAGTGACCCAAGAAGAAGTAAAGAGAAGGAACAGATCAAGAAGAATGTGGTTGCTGTGAAGGATGATGACGACTTTCCTGAAGCTATCATCATAGAAAAGGACGATAGTGGCCAGTATAACTTGCAGTCAACTAACGCGCCCAATACAGCCAAGAATGACACACCAAGAGACATGCAGGCAGTAGAACCAACTACATCAAAGAACACTATTACAACTGAGGAATCAGATGATTGTACTATCGAACAAGCTTATATGCCGGCTGAGGAGGAGACTCCAAGCAACGCAAGAATGTCCAACGGTCCGGTTATCAAGACACGAGTAAAGATTTACCAAATAAACTAAGGTGGAACCAGACTCCTGGACTTATCGAGAGCCAAAATAACCAGATACCTGGAGACTTCACTGGGGGTAGGAAGCATATGCAGACTCAGAAAGACGCAAGAGGGTCTGATCAGTACGCTGAATGAAACCAAACAGACAAAGAGAATGACTGAGGACATTGGTACACAGCCTACAATAGAATTACAGCTACCGGAAAAGATACTGGTAGCAGCCAAGATGTTTCAGGAGATCCGAAAGTGGGTGGTCAAGAGAGTGAATACTAAATGGTCAAACCTGGAGATCGCAGAGCACTTGAGGAGAGAAAACCCGAAGATGAGTATAGTCAGAGCAGAGAGAATTATATCCAAAGACATGAAATCAACAGTAGCAGTGGTGACGACAGAAGGTGAGAGTATTCCAGAAACAGTCAAGATTGATAATAAACTACAGAAACCAGAGATATATATCCCAGGGGTACTCCAATGTTCCAGATGTCAAAAGGGATTTCATACCAAGTCAGTGTGCCGCAGCAAAACAGAGATTTGCAGATATTGTGCTGACTCTCATTCCTATAATGAGTGTCCATTAGCAAAGCAAGATAAAAATTACCAAAAACCAAATAGCAATCAACGATGCAGCAACTGTTTTGGACGGCACGGGGCGAGGTATTTTGGATGTCCTTATCTACAACACTGCCAGGAAATACTCAAGATAGCAATTACTGAGAGAATACCATGCAAAGAAGCCAAAAGAAAATGCAAAGAATCTGAATACTTCACCCCAGTGGAGAAATCCAGGATGCAGAATCAGATCAGAAAGCTAGAAGAAGAGGTCAAGATATTAAAGGCAAATTAGCTGACTCCAAAGAAAAACATGCCAGAAATTGATGACCAAGCAAGACAGATACTTGCAGAGATGAAAGAGATATTGGACTACAATATAAAGACAATGACATAAAAGCAGAAACAATAGCAGCACTACAGGAATTGCAGAAAAAGCAGGATGAAAGCCGTGAAGACAACAGCTCCAAGCAACCCCAAATAGATCAAGATAACAGCAAAAAGCCAATAGACGATAAACCGAAAGAAACATCGATGAAAGAGTCTACTGGCAAGCAACAAGAACTTGAAGATAGACACAATATAGAAATGAACAGAAGGTTTCCACCAGGAAGCATCAAAACCAAAGAAGACCGAAGGAAACAAGCTCAATACGGAAAGCGACTGAGGGAAGAGATGAGAGAGACGACAGAGAAGACAACATCCACAGACACCTACCAGCCAGATCCAAAACGTAAAACAACACAGAGGACACCAGACAAAGATGAGAAGGAGAAAAACAGCAACAAAGATGGAAAGACAAAATTACATAAAAGTCCTTGTAAGGACTAAGTACTATTACATCATAGAAGCCAAGACAGAGCAGAAAAACGTGACGAGGATTAGAAACCAGACTCAACCAATCAGAAAATGGGAATCACAAGACGATGAGTGGATAGGACAGAACTAAAATGCAATATACAGATGTGTCCTACCATAGTCAAGAACGAAAAAAGAGACACAATTAAGAAATAGAAGACCCTTGCCTCCGGATACAACAACATCAGGTATAGAACAACTTTATACAAGTGAAAAACAACATCAGTCAAACCGTTTAGAACAACATAACCAAATGGAACCGAAGGAAACCATATTCAAACAATTCAAACTTAATAAAGATCACAAATATAGGCATCAGCTATACAGCTGAAAATGCCTGAACGTGATCACATTATTCTTTTTCTTTTTCAAGCAAGCAAGCAAGCAAGTATGACGTCATCTAGGGTAGGATATTACAAAAGAACCAAACTTCTTAGTTGCCTCCTACAATATGCATGCATGGCAGATTTCAGTGACTGATTACTTCCAATGTGGGCCCCAGTAACACAGGGGCAGGAAACATGGTGCTAGTGCATGTTCTAGTGATGGTCTACTCTGATTCCATGTCATCATGGCATACAGAATGTTTGTTAGGGGTATATGTACATTACTTAGTCAGGGGACATGGGACATGTCAGTATAATACTGTCCACTTTACCTCCCAAAAAAAAGGAATGAAATGTAAAGAAAGAAAGAAAGAAAGAAAGAAAGAAAGAAAGAAAGAAAGAAAGAAAGAAAGAAAGAAAGAAAGAAAGAAAGAAAGAAAGAAAGAAAGAAAGAAAGAAAGAAAGAAAGAAAGAAAGAAAGAAAGAAAGAAAGAAAGAAAGAAAGAAAGAAAGACAGACAGACAGACGGATGGACAGACAGACAGACAGACAGATCGATGAAAAGACAGACAGATTAACAGTACACAAATATTAAAACAAACCTGGAATCACGTTATCAAAGTAAATCATCAAGACGGCATACAGGATAGTGTCCACTAACAACATCACAATGGGAGCATAGAGAGGAAACTTGCCGTAGGTAAGAGCCTCATTAAAACCAAAGCCATTCATGTGAATGTCCAGGAACAGCGCCTGTACAGACAAAGAAAACACTTAAATTCCTTCAATGTAAACACAAGACTAGCAGAGTGAGTACAACTAACAAACAGTAACTTACATAAAAACTGTGAGGACAACATTGCCAGCCTAAAACTAATACTAGCCAGTCCAAATCTGCTGTGCTGAATCATAAATTGATTATATCCTATTATTAAACCTAGGTTATCTCTCCGCAGATGTAACGTTCTAGTTTTAGGAAAGCATAGCTAACTGGTGTCTGGGTTTCAGAAAGTAAGTATGCAGTATGCCACCATGGAGTTGGTACTGTACATCTCTGAACTGTGTGTGTATCTTTGGTTTTGATTAGCAAGAAGGACCCGTCAGGGAACCGAAGAATTACAACTTGATCTGGCATGCATGTCATATAAGCAGCTAATGAGACTGGTGTAAGATTTGCTGTTTTATCCCACAGAAAACATTAGCTGCAAATCTGACTGACTATTAATAAATCTTCAAAATGCTTGGAGTGAGTAGATTCAAGGCCTATACTCCATCGGGAGATGAAGGAGCAAAGAAGAAATACAGGTGCTATCACTCTACCCTGTAGATGTCATGTGTTATAAAATAAAAGCTTTTAGTCATTTTTGTAGCAGACATGAAAGATGAACTGTACAGCACGCTAGTAGGAATGCTTAGTGTGACGAAACGACCTCAGTGTTTTCAGAAGTTAGAACATGTAATAATTTCTTCTGTTTATAGAGAGACAGAGAATTATATTTACTATGCCCTAAGCCTGAATATTACTAAAACCACATGGGATTTAAAATTGTTGAAACTGTTTTCAGTCCTTAGCCCAGACAAAGCAACCAAGCTTTGGTTAATATTACATAACATTACCTAATATAGCCCGCTGGTCTACATGGGAAAGTTCAGACATAGTGGCTCTAGGGTTTGAATGTAGAACTGAAGTGTCATATAATTATCTCCTGACCAGAGAGAGCCTTAGGGGCAGGCAACTGGTCATAAAACTAATCTTCTTCTTCTTCGCGTTTACCAGCTGTATACTCTGGCGGAAAGTTCTGGTTGCTCTTCCACTACTGAACTGCAGTCCTGTTCCAGAAGCTGAGTGTTGCATGTGCATCAGTTTTACAGATCTCATTCTCTTGAATACAGACTGTTGGGTCCTTGCCTCTGCGGCAGATGCACTCCGACTTCAAAGGAAGATAAAACTAATGATTCCCCCTGAGATTATCTTCCTTGAACTGCAGACCACAGAAAGTTATAAAATGGTTACATAACTGGCCAGACTGGGCCCTTTCAACAGATAAGATGAGGGGAATTAACTTGGTCAAGTAGGAAACTCTAGACTTGATGGCATCCCTGGACCGACTTTTCACACCTGTCAGTGACACAGTCTGGGACTAGATGTTTACTACTTAAGAATGTTTGGTCAGAGTGGTGTCAGTCACGAATTAATAATTAATACATCTTAGCCAAAATATGTGGCATACATAAATCAGACCACAATTATAACAAAGCTGCTCACAGCAAGCTGTTCATAGTGGGGTTTTTTTTTGTCTTTTTTTTTTTAAATAATTTTTTCTATATTAAAATTGGAATTTGAACTTTTGTAATCATGCGATATGAAACAGAGACTTAGCACTGACCTGATCCACAAACGTAGCAAAAGATATTGGTGACAGGAGACATAGTAACCACTGGGCAGCGGCAGGGACTTTAGAGTCATAGCTCATGACATCCCTGGTCTGGCTAATGGCCAGGTAGATACAGCTGATGATGACTGTTGAGAAACCGGTCACGGCTCCGGCCACTTTGGACTTGTTGAAGAACGGGGTGATCATGAATGCAAAGGAAATAATGGAGCTTCCGTACAGGAGAAAGCAGATGTAGATGAGGAACATGCTGCTGTGCTTGAAATAACCAGACACTGAGATGATCATAACCATGACTGCTGAGGTAACAATGATCAACGTCATGTACACAATCATCCAGGACAGCCTGAAATAATCAAATGAATAAAAATATGACAACAGTAAAAGGACATGCATATTGAGAACGTAATTAATGGAGATATTTTGATAATACTTTCAGCAGGGCTTTTTTCTTCCAAACAAAAAGGGTGCCGGTAATCACCACAAAGTGTCTTAAAAAAGGTGTGAGTACTCACCACAAACTATCTATTACAGTAGTGATGAAAACAAGATTCCTTTTTTAAAAAAAGTGCCAGAACTGCATACCACTGCATATAGCCAGAAAAAATAACCCTGGTTAAAATACCTGCATAGATGGATAAATCATTGGTGCTGTCTTAGTTAATTCCCAGATGTAAATCATGCCAACACCACACATATCTCTATAATTCTGGCATATTCCACAGACTTCTATGTTATCCCAGCAAATTTCCCATAATTCCTAGCTGACAAACTTCAGCAGCTGAGGCAGTGCCATGTGCCAACCTGAAGGTTTTGGCTTCAATCTGTACTGGGATGGATTTGTATAACTGACCTAGAGCTTCCAGATTCACCCTGCCCAACACAAGTATCAGGAAATGTCTTGGGAAGTAAAGGCGATTGGCATGATGTTGAATACATCACTCATCAAGTGCTAACTGATCAGTGAAGATCTGAGCATAGCACCAGTTGTTTAAAATGCACAGGACAGGAGATAGATTCTTACTGTTTTCCTTCTTGCAAACTCAGCATAGTTCCTAGAGGCACAAGACAGGAGATAGATTCTTACTGTTTTCCTTCTTGCAAACTCAGCATAGTTCCTAGAGGCACAAGACAGAAGATAGATTCTTACTGTTTTCCTTCTTGCAAACTCAGCATAGTTCCTAGAGGCACAAGACAGGAGATAGATTCTTACTGTTTTCCTTCTTGCAAACTCAGCATAGTTCCTAGAGGCACAAGACAGGAGATAGATTCTTACTGTTTTCCTTCTTGCAAACTCAGCATAGTTCCTAGAGGCACAAGACAGGAGATAGATTCTTACTGTTTTCCTTCTTGCAAACTCAGCATAGTTCCTAGAGGCACAAGACAGGAGATAGATTCTTACTGTTTTCCTTCTTGCAAACTCAGCATAGTTCCTAGAGGCACAAGACAGAAGATAGATTCTTACTGTTTTCCTTCTTGCAAACTCAGCATAGTTCATAGAGGTCCTGGCAATGTTCACAAATGCTGAGTCCCGGTTGTCTTAGAAAATGTCACTTATTGTGCAATATATCTAATAAACCTCACAATTCTTTATAGGCCAAGTAAACTTGATATAATTCTTTTTAATCCCGGCAGAAGTCACGCAACTCATTACTCATCATCATAAACCACTTCAGCCATTAAGCAACATGGGGAGGAATAATTTGCGATCCAGTGCACGTTGGCTGCCACTGGCTATTGTCATGCCGTGAAGGCGTAGAGTGTCTTTAATGTTGTCGATCCATGTTTTCCGCGGCCGTCCTCTTGCTCTTGAGGCTGATCTTCTAAGATGTAGTGCTTGTGATGGTATTTGATCTTGCGGCATTCTAACAAGATGGCACGCAACTCATTAACTGTCCTGGTAAAATCGACACTATTCTTAGAATTGATAACAAACCTGAAATAATGTTTGCAACACATAATCAGTGTAAGAAATAACATATTAAATCATAATTTCCCTGTGTGAGTTCCAGGGCTCCATTATGGGGACAGAAATAACTAGACCCCCTGCCCCCACAATAAGCATGTTATCAAAGTGGCTATTTAGGGGTGTTTCCTTTGAAGTCTGAGCGCATTTGCCTGAGAGGCAAAGAATCAACCATCAGCATATAATTAATCCAGACCTCTAAAACAGATGTGCACACAAAATTTAAGTTCTAGAACAAGATCAAAGTCCAGAAGTGGATGAAAAAAACTAAAGCCAGTGAGCGCTAGGAAGATGAAGAAATTGTAATTAAGCTCTGAAGATTAGAATACAAGACGGAATAGTCGCAAACATTCTCTCACATAGACTTACAAATATCCCCATGGTCCCAGCAAGATCTTTTACTTTAAACATTTGTCCAACAAAACATTTACTGAATGCTCATGGGTAAAGCTAATACTTGCCGGAATCTCAAAGAAACAATCCATAACATGTTTTAATATCTCACTTACCAGAACACAGAGTTTCGGAGTCCCATCATCATCATTCCATCCTTAATTTTCTTTTCCTTTTCGGCAACAATGTTTACTGCCAAAAAATTGGCCATGATAGAGAACGAAAAGACAAAGTAAATGGATGAAATGGCCTGGATGCTGGCAGTATCCGGTGAATATTCACCTTTGTCCATTATCTGTACATCAATTTTTCTTGATCTTATATCAGATGAGATGTTCAAATTCTGAAACAAGAGATCTTAGATGAGATGTTCAAATTCTGAAACAAGAGATCTTATATCAGATGAGATGCTCAAATTCTGATTACAAGACATCTTATATCAGATGAGATGCTCAAATTCTGAAACAAGAGATCTTTTATCAGATGAGATGCTCAAATTCTGAAACAAGAGATCTTATATCAGATGAGATGTTCAAATTCTGAAACAAGAGATCTTATATCAGATGAGATGTTCAATTTCTGAAAAAAGAGATCTTATATCAGATGAGATGCTCAAATTATGAAACAAGAAATCTTATATCAGATGAGATGTTCACATTCTGAAACAAGAGATCTTATATCAGATAAGATGCTCAAATTATGAAACAAGAGATCTTATACCAGATGAGATGTTCAAGTTTTGAAACAAGAGATCTTATATCAGATAAGATGTTCAAATTCTGAAACAAGAGATATCAGATGAGATGCTCAAATTCTGAAACTAGAAATCTTATATCAGATGAGATGCTCAAATTCTGAAACAAGAGATCTTATATCAGATGAGATGCTCAAATTATGAAACAAGAGATCTTATTTCAGATGAGATGTTCAATTTCTGAAAGAAAAGATCTTATATCAGATGAGATGCTCAAATTATGAAACAAGAAATCTTATATCAGATGAGATGCTCACATTCTGAAACAAGAGATCTTATATCAGATAAGATGCTCAAATTATGAAACAAGAGATCTTATACCAGATGAGATGTTCAAATTCTGAAACAAGAGATCTGATATCAGATGAGATGTTAAAATTCTGAAACAAGAGATCTTAGATGAGATGCTCAAATTCTGAAACAAGAGATCTTATATTAGATTAGATGTATTTGTTTTCTTTGCTACATTTGTCTTTCCCCAAAGCAAAAAGAGTGCATCATCAAAATAAATGGAAACCCCTAAGAGATGATAAAGAGCCCACGTACCTCAGAGTCATATCTGATGACAGATTGACATGGAGAAAACATATCAACAAGGCAGCAACCAAAGCCAGGAGGAAGACAGCCATACTAAGAAAATTAAGTGGAACCACATTGGGAAAATACTCAATAAAGTATACAAGCAGAGCATACTTCCACACTTGGAATATGGGTCAACTGCATGGTGTTCAGCATCTAGTACCACATTAAAGGAGTTGGACAAAGTGCAAAATCAAGCACTCAGAGTCATCACAGGAGGGATGAAATCAACCCATATATCAGAAATGGAGAAAGCTGGGAAAACACAGGCACTGAGAGAACGCAGAGATACAAAGTTGCAAATACAAGCTGAAAAGTTCTTCAGTATGCCAGATCACCCGATGGAAAATAGATTTCAGAACCTAACCTTGGGACGGTTAAAAAGAAGCAGCTTTATACATCAAGCAAAAAGAATATGTAGACAAACTGCTGACCTTCCTGAAATTGGTTGTCCACTTAACAGTATTCCAGAACAAACCCCATGGAGAGAGAAATGCAAACTAACAGTACAAATCTAGAGAAATGTGAAAGGAATATTTGACAAGAAAGAACAAGATAGTGTACAACGCAGAATGGCCACCCTTAGTTATACTGATGAAGAATACCCACAAGAACAATGGGCCAGAGTCTATACAGATGGGTCCGCAGAAAGTGCAGTTAGAAATGGTGGTGCTGGAGTGTACATAGAATTCCCAGATGGTACTAGGGATAAGTCTAGCGTACCAACCGGAAAGTACTGCCATAACTATGATGCAGAAACTCAGACTATCAAGATAGCAACAGAGAAACTGCTAAATACCAATCTTGACTCCCAGTATGTAGTAATGCTGACAGATGCAAAATCAGTACATGAAGCACTCCAGCCTAGAAAACTACCAGAATTGCAAACATTGCTGACACAACTTAGCCTTCAGCAAAGAGTTGTAATGCAGTGGATACCATCACATTGTGGAGTGCCTGGAAATGAGAAATACATTTCAATCATCACACAGTAATTACCAAAGATAGCAACACAGTCCACAGATAAAACTGGCTGTCACCCAGAAATAACAATAAATGATGAAGAAATTGAAAATGTCACAAACTTTGAATATCTAGACTCTATAATAAACAACAATGGAGACTGTTTGACCGAAATTAAAAGGGGGATGGCCATAGCAATGCAAAGATTGAACAGCCTTAAAAGTCTATGGATAAGCACCAGCAAGAATATAAAAATTAGAATTTTGAGAGCATGCACCTTCCCTGTGGCTACATACGGATGTGAGTCGTGGACTATCTCGCAGTCCTTAAAGAGAATAGGGGCTTTTGAGCTGAAACTCAGAACTCAAGACCATGAAGTTCACAGATAAAACAGTACAACCAGACTATGAAGTTCACAGTTAAAACAGTACAACCAGACAATGAAGTTCACAGATAAAACAGTACAACCAGACAATGACTTCAGCTACAGATTTGTGACCGATTCTTAATCTTGGGGAGACTTTGTAATAGTTTTCTCTAACCTTCCACATTCACAAGTGATTGTGAGCTCTAGCAAGTGAACAGATGAAATAGTACAACCAGACAATGAAGTTCAAAGATTAAACTGTACATCCAGACAATAAGTTATTTTGATAAAACAATGCACCCAGACAATGAAGTACACAGATAA